ACACCTTGTAGCTGATCCCACCTGGGGCTGCCCTCGGGGACACCCCCTTCCCGTCCACGTTAACCATGAAATCCCGTGTCTGTGGCAGCACCAGCTTCGTTTAGCTTTGCTTCCCTGAAAGCAGACTGTTTGGGGCACTAAAACCCTTTACTGTATCTGCAGCTTCAGGGACCCAGGGACCCAGCGAGACACTGATCTGAGATTGAGAGAGAGGCTGTGCCTCCTGGGGCTGTGGGGCTGCGAGCCAGGAGGCTCGTGTCCAGGAAGGGGAAGGGGTGCCCGGGGCTGTGCGGCTCCGTGGGGTCAGTCCTGCTGGGCTGGCGTCCTGTGCCAGTGGTCACAGCAGTCCCCACGCAGCGTTTGGGTGTTGGGAGAAAACGCCCCGGAGTCCAGGGAGAAAGTCCTGCTACTCTCATTTTCCGTAGTTATGCCTTTGCTTTCCCGTCGTCCTCCATCCAGTGAGCTCCGTGCCCCTGACCCCAAGCACCACGCATCCAGTTTTCAGCAGAACTGTCCCGTACCAGGTCCCGGGATCAGGCCCTCCCGCTACCCAGGCCCCAGGTGGACAGACCACGGTGTGTCCCTCTAGGAATCGCTCACCCACAGACTGGGGAGGTTCCTGAGACACACGAGAGAGCTCTGCTGGCTCAGGACGCGGGAGGAGCAGAAACCCCCAGCCACGTGGGGGGAGGTGCGGGGTCCAGGGAGGGGCCGCCTGCGAGGGTCCTGGCGGCCGGATGTTGCACTGTGACCCCTGTGTGTCTGGAGCAGCCCGATGGGTATGTCGGGAGGGGGTCCTGGGGGCCAGGAGCCGGGTGCTGGGTTTGGCCCCAGGGTCCACCGGCCCAGGGACTCGGCTCCAGTCCAGCCCTGTGCTCCTCGTGGGGTTTAGACATGTGGCGGAGGCCAGTCCCACTCACCAGCTCCCAGGCACGGTCGGGGTCCGCGAGCCGCTCGTCCCTGGACAACACAAACCGCAGGTCTTCATCCCTGTGGGGGGGCCGTCTGTCCCTCTTGGCCATGTGTACATGGGTCTGTCCTCACCCTGGACAGGTGGGGAGCGCCAGGCCGGTGATGGACGACACGCCTGTGCGGTGGACTCTGCACACGGCATGAGCGGGGGCGGGGGAGGGTGCTGGTGTTCCCTCAGGAGTGTCCCAAGGCCCAGGGGTGGAGGGGCCCCCGCGAAGCTGCGTCTCCGGGGATCCATCCCACAGGTTCAGGCAGAGGCCGAGCGGGAGAGCCTGCAGCAGGGAGCCCCCCTTGGGCAGCGGCCAGACCAGCCCAAGAACAGGCTGCTCCTGCCGGGCGACATGCTGATCCTGGTGGCCCTGTGCCTGCAGAACTTGAAGCTCAGAGAGGAGTTAGAGGGTGAGCAGAGCTCTGGAGAAGGCCCCCCAGGACTGGGCGCCCACCTGCTGCAGGTGTGGACAGCGAGGATGGAGACAGTGCTCCTCCTCCGTGGCGGGGGCTCCTGCTGGTCATGGTGACAGAGCCCTGCTTCCTGGTGACACGCGGGGCCGAGCAGGGTGCCAGGAGGGGCCCCTGGGTTCTGCGAGGTCTGGGACGGGCCAGAGGGGGGTTGGAGGTGGCGGGAAGCTGGGTGCCCAGCCCACGCTGACTGATGCTCTCTCCCCCTGTGTGCTAGGAGGCCGGCGACTCCCCGGACAGGTAGGGGCCGTCCTGTCCCCCTCGCGTGCCCGCACATCCACACCCACAGACTCGTGCCTGCACTCGGCCTCCCTGGGGTCCAGGGGGGTCCCTGCCCCACCGCCTCAGGCCCCCATGCAGCACACCAGGGCCGAGGCAGCAGGACGGCTGAGGTTTCTTGGTTTCTAGGAGCGCTCTGCAGAACGGAGAGTGCCTGCGGCTGGAGAAGAGGACGCTGAGCCCCCTGCTGCCGTCCTCTGGGCAGCCGCCACCAGCTGTTTCCTGGACCGCCCAGGTTCACCCCAACCCCCATCCCCGCCTCCCAACTCCCCCTCCTTCTGCTGGGCCAGTCCCCCAGGAGGCTGGCCCAGGAGTTTCTGGGCACCCGCATCTCCCGAGCAGGACCCCCTGGGCTCGTCCCTGCCACTCGGACCAGATGCCTGAGCCTTGCTCATGCTCGCGGCTGACCCCGCACACGTCAGGCCTGAGGCCACCATGCTGCCAGCGAGCAGACAGCAGTGCCTGCCTCTCCCCATGTCGTGCTAGGACAGGAGCGCCCAGTCCCCCACACGCACTCCAGAGTTCTGTGACCCCTTCCCATGAGCAGGACTGTGGCTGGACTGCGCAACAGAAAGGGCACGGAGTGTCCCTCCGGTCACTGTGCTACCCTGTGTGGTCACGGCAGGCAGGACTCCTCAGACACGGTCCACACTGGGCCGATGAAGCACGCGGGCCAGGCCAGGGACCCGCAGGCGGCCACTCGACTGGCAGCAGCCTCCGGCCCTCGGCCCACAGGGAGCAGGGCCCTCAGGCCAAGGCTGCAAAAGCACGAGTTCTGCCTACAGTGTGAGCCCGTCCCAGACGCTCCGACCCCGACACCGTGACAGCGGTCCCCGCTCCTGCCCGCGGCGTCGTCCTGCCGTCCCGGACACTCGGAAGCCGACAGTGGTCCCCAGCCAGGCTTGGACCCGAACCCCTACGTCCGCGTGTGTGATGAGTCTGGTGCGCCCTTGCCCTTGGCTCTGCAGGAACCTGGCCGGGGGCTCAGCTGCACGGGCCTTGTTCTCTCGCGTGCACGGTGGGGCTGCTCCTGCGGGCACCACCGCACGGGATGCCGGGAGGATTAAATGAGTGAACACCTAGTTCGTGTGTGTGTGAGCTCTCCCTCTGAGCCTGGCCCCTCCCCCCGGGCCATCACTTCCCCGTGAGGCCTGGTTGTGGCAGAAAACCCCTTTTCCTTCTTTACCCGTCAGTTCTAACAAAGCTCTTCTTTTCTTTGGAACGATCTCTGTCTTGGTGAACGAAGGTGCTGCTACTGTGTGTGTGTGGTGGGGACAAGAAATCAGGGGAACCCACGGCCGACAAGACAGGCTGCAGCCCTCCTGCGGGGCCTGGAGAGGGTGATGGCCGGGAGGGCGGCTCAGACCTGAGCACTTGTGGGGCAGGCGGGGACCCCGAGGGCCGATCCAGGATAAGCAGGCCCCCGCAGCTGTCCCGAGTCACCGGGTCACCAGCAGTTGGCGTTTTTCAGAGAGGGGAACAGATGCAGGCCCTTCGTGGGGAGTGTGGCCGTGTGAGCTAGCTCCCCGGGACCCTGCATACCCCACAGCGGTTCAGGCCTGTGGGCCAGATGGGCGCTTCAGCCCTCACTGCGTGACCTCGGCTACAGACCCCCCGCACGTGAGACGGGACTCCGCAGGGACAGCTTAAGGGACGTACTGCACGCCCGTCCTCTCGCAGCTGCGGACCGGGCCGCTCATGTCTTACCAGGCCCGCCAACACCAACAGAAACACAGGCCAGTTCTCAGTGGACCCCAGGTGTGGGGCTTCGGGTGTGTATTACCATCACTCAGAGACTTACACGCATCTACAGTTTTGAATATAACGTTTTCTGGGAATATATATATATTTTAATATTTATCTATTTGACAGAGAGACAGCGAGAGAGGGAACACAGCAGGGGGTGTGGGAGAGGGAGAAGCAGGCTTCTCACTGAGCGGGGAGCCCGACACAGGGCTGGATCCCAGGACCCCGGGATCATGACCTGGGTCGAAGGCAGATGCTTTAACTCACCAAGCCACCCAAGTGCCCCTTCCCCGAATATATTTTATAGACATTGTGAACGTGCCCAGAGGATGCGCTCAGCCCCGTGCAGCTGCTGCTCCTGGGCCCACGTGTCCTCTGCCTGTGCCCCAAGGCGGACAGGCAGATCCCCAGGAACTGGCCTTGGCCTGCATGGGCTCCCGGGCCCATGGGGAGGTGACCCCACTTCAGTTTGTGTTTAAGGAGAGTGAACAGTGCTGACGATGTTGTCAGGGAGTGGCACGTTCGCTCGGAGTGGAAGACGAGCCCCAGGCCACAGAGGGCGTGAGAACCATACTCTGCACACAGCCTCTCATGTTCCCCCTGACCCCGACCCCAGGGCGGCTGACGTCCCTCCCTCTCCATGCCCCGCAGCCCTGGCTCTCTCCCTTCCCCACAACAATCCCCGGACACCAGTGAGTCCAGGCCTGGAGCCTCGTCCCCGCTGCTGCTGGTCACCCCTGCGGGGAATCCACAGCTTTGTGCGTGGGCGCATCTCTGCCCCACAGCGCAGCTCTCTGGGCCTCACCCTTCCCACCACCCCGTTCTCGAGCCCAGACTGTGGCTGCCGCCACAAGGGACCGTGTGGGCCGCCGGTGACTGTGTCCGGCCTTGCATCTCAGCTGACGTGTGTCGGGGGCGGGAGGCCGCAGGCGGGGTCAGGGTCTGGTCGCCCAGTGTCCAAGGGCTGCAGGGCCAGCCAGTCCGGCCTCTGCCGACCTTCTCCCCTCACTGGGCACACGCGTCCTACAGCAGTCCTTCCCAGGAAGCCTTCCCCGCCGGGCTGGGCCCCATGCCCTGAGCTCTCCCACCGCCCCCTCTGTGACGTCCCCTTGCTGCCTCTGTCCAGTCCGGGAGCTCCTCCAGATGCCAGATTTTTTTCATTTTCACAGCAGCAGTGGCCCCCATCCTGCCTGGTTCACAGGTAGCACACAAAAAATGTTTCCCGAAGGCACACGTATACGAACCCTCATTTCTCTGGAAAAAGACAGAATGAAGAGAGGTGCCTTGCCCCAGATCACACAGTGGTGGCCACAGGCTGGTCTCCAGCCCAGTCTTCTGGCCCCAGCCCAGGACTCCTGTGTCCCTGGAGCCCCAGGCTGTCCACAGGTGTCAGGGAAGAGGCCTGATCAGCACATGGGGTCACCCACCTTGCCCTTCAAGTCCTCACCCTGCCAGGCTTCCACCCCGTCCCCCAGGGAGCTGGTAGGGGTGGCGTTCGCACCATCCTCCAGGGAGCTGGTCCCAGCAGAGGGTGACCGCCTCTCTCAGGAACTCACGGAGAAGCTGGACCCTCGGCCCCAGAGCCCAAAGAAGGGAAAGACCTTCTGGGTGAAGGAGGCCGTGAAGGTGTAGATGGGCTCCTGGCTGACCGCATTGACGAAGGTCACCCAGCCCACCTCGTAGTCCAGGGACACGCGCACCTGTCTGGGCTGCTCCTGCAGCGCTAGCCTCGTGGGGAAGGAGCCCAGCGCTGACACGAAGCCCCAGGCCAGCCTCACGGCCCACACACCCTCCTCCGGCCGCAGCCGTAGCTCCCCCTTCCGCCTCACGGCCTCGCTCACCACGCCCACCGTGCAGCTGCCCCCGTGGGCCAGGTCCACCTTCACCAGCCACGTGTGTCTCCCCGCCGTGAAGCCACTGAGGGCCAGGACACAGGTGGCCCGGTCAAAGCGCTGGGGGCTGTCTGGCGAGCTCTGCCACTTGTAGGAGAACTGCGCGCGCCGCCGGTCCTCAGATAAGAGGAGCTTGGGGTGGGAGGTCTGGGGGTCCAGGCAGATGTCCGCTGCAGAGGACAGAGACGGCAGCACCGCTTACGACCTGCGGGAGCAGCTAATGCCCCGCCTCCGCCTGCTAGTGTCATTCTCCACATCACCGTGCCTGTGGCACGCGTGTCTCCCAGAACCATGCCAGGAGTCCCGATGCTCTGACTTCCCCGCAGACCACCCAGGACAGAGTCCGGGCTTTGAGCAGCCCGACCAGTGACGGTGTGTGCTCCCGCCTGCCCACAGACGCCCGGGCTCCACACCCGCCGTCCTCGGCTCAGTGCCGGCCTTGGAGGGCAGCCCTGTCCCTGCAAACGCGTGGCCTCCCGAGGCTGTGCCTGCCCTGCTGCCACTGGCCCCCACTCCTCCTGCCTCTGGCCCCCACCCCTCCTGCCTCTGAGACCTCCAGGGCCGAGAGGACCTCGGCTCCGTCCCAGCGGCCGGCGCACGCCTGGTCTGACCCCGCGAGCGCTCGGGCTCGCCTGAGGCTTATTCCTGCTGCCTCCATGATTTTAAATCCGTCCGAGTCAGAGGGCCGCTTCCCAGCACGAAACATAGCACGGACCCTGCACAGTGTGGCCTTCAGGTGGGACGGTTCTAGATGCAGGTGTGGCCGTGGCCCAGCAGCGCAAGGCGCCCGGGTCTCTGGCCGACAGGTGCCGTGGGTGGCTCCTGCGCCAGCTGCCTTCCCGCTAACTGTGCCGTTAAACTCCGCAGAGACCAAGCGCGCTTTCCAGTGATTCCAACGGTGGGATTCCAAACCCAGATCAGAGTCCCCTCGCCCAGGAAACCCTTCTTGATGACCCTCGTCCCGGCTGGTGTGACCTTTGTCCCTGCCCGTCAGGTGCAGATGAGAACACGCGCTTCGTGACAGGGTGTGTGTGTGTGTGTGTGCATGTGTGTGCGCGCGGGCAGGGGACTCCGGGGCGCCTGGCAGGGGACCCGACGACACACGGCTTCCCCGCCCCCGCCCATCCTGGCACAGGCTGCCTACCTGGCTCAGAATCCAGTTCGCAGCACAGCTTCTCTGTGAAGAGGAACAAACCAGGATGAGCTCTCGTTTGTCTTGTGAAACCACACCCCACTCAGTGGTGAGGAGACTGGCCCCAGCAGGGAGGGACGGGACAGGGACAGCAGACAGACCCCCAGACCCGTGCTTCTGGCCCCAGTCAGCATCCGGAGCAGCAGCGACAGCGTGCGTCTGACTCTGGGGCCTGGGGGCAGCCGCCTGGCCCTGGGGGGCCTGTGTCTGCCTTGTGCAGCCTCTCACATGGGGCAGAGCATGTGCCCCAGAAACATCGACCAGAAGAACAGAAAAGGGGGTGAATTGAGTTCTTACTCTCCTGGGAAATTTTTGGAACAAAGGTCAGATTTGATTAGAGGACAACATCCCTCACGGCCAGGTCGCTGGGTGTGCTTGCTGGCAGGCTCCAGTGTGGGCCCATCCAGGTGACGTTGCTGTGGGCGGGCCATGTGGAAAAGGGCAGCATCATCCCTGACGTCAGGGACAGGGCGCTGGCAGAGCCACATGCCTGACTCACGCCCGGCATCACACCCATTCCCACCAGCATGGCCTGTTCCAGGAACACGGGCCCAGTCGCCACAGGGGCCTGGAGTGCCGGCCAGATGGGGGAGGGGGAGATGCGAGAGAGTCAGCAGCCCCACGGCACGAAGAAACACTCTGCCTAATTAGCCAAGTTCATCATCAGAAACTTACCATGTATGACAAGTGCCTCTGCAGACTTTTTAAATTATCAAAAACGACGGATTTTGTTAATCATTATTTTTTATATTGTTCAAGGTCAGCAGATCAGATTTACTTGTGTAATTATTTTTCAGATCAGTTAATTTTTTTCCAGAGACCTTCATCTCTATTACTACCGTGTTACGTTAATCTGACCGGCAGATTTTACCAACACGTGCAAAGAAGGACAGCCCAGGAAGGCACCAGAAGGGTACGAGCCAAAGGTCACTCAAGCCTTGGGCAGTGGTGGAGTGTGGGGGGCGTTCCCAGTCCCAGGCTTCATGGACCCCCATGCCCGGGGAAACCCTGGGGTCCTCTTACCCAGAAACATCTCCATCTCCATCCTCAGCGGGACAGCCTGCTGGGGGAAGTCCCGAATCCTCTGGCCCAGCTCAGGGGACACAGCCTCTGGTTTCCGGCACTTTCTGGTTTCACATCTAGGGGCACGGAAAGAGTGGGGTTTCTCCAGACTCAGCTGGCCCCCTGTGAACCGGGCACAGGGGAAGCAGGTCCCACAGGCAGACACACTTCCTCGGGGACGCACCCCACTGCCCACCGTTGGGCAGCTGCACGTGCAAATGCACACATGTGTATGAAGTTGTGCCGCTGATGGGACAAGGCTGTGGGCATGCAAGGGTCGGGCTTGTGACGCCGTGTGAGCATGCCCGCGGGAGACGAGGGAATGGCAGCTTACCTTATCAGAGTACTTCTGATGTCCTAGGAGAAAGAGGGGAGAGCAGGAGTTCAGACAAACACCATGTTGCCACAGAGGAAAAGCACCCAAGATCCTGCAGCCGCTGAGTTCTGGGGCTAGTGAGGCATCTGGGGTCACAGAGGCCGCCCCTGATCCCACGCGACCACACAGCAGAAGGACCTGGCAGCCAGCTGGAGGCCAAGGCCCCTGCTCTCAGTCCCGTAAACCGGGAGTGTGGCCCCCAGTCACGCTGCCATCTGATGCCTCGCTGGGCGCCCGCTATCTCCGGAACAGCTTCCTGAGTGCTGGGTGGCCCCACAGCATACCCGGCCTCGGAAACAGCACAGGACATCTCTTTGCAGAGCATGAGATGCTTTTCAAACTGCTCGTTTCCACTGTATTTTCCTGTTGGAGTCTCACAGCATCCCTGAGAGGCAGGTAAGAAAAGGGCCCCCCAAGTCGATGGACGTGGGACAGTGAGAAGCCAGGATGCAGAGTGACTGAGGCCTGTCTGGGGAGCAGGCGCTGGAATTCAGGACCTCTCTTGCCCTCGGGGTGAAGGGGAGGTGGCTCAGACATGGGAGGGCGCTGGAAGTCAGAGGCGGCCGCAGGTGGGGCGGTCTCACCGTCAGGAGCTCTCGGGCCGGCCTCCCGTTCTTCTCCTCCAGCTCGGAGATCAGGCTGCTGAACCGGCAGATCTCCTCGCTGACCAGGACATCGAACGCGTCCCGTTGCTTCAGGATGTCCCCATCCAGCTCCTCCAGCTGGGCCAGGAGGATGCTCTGCTGCTCCTCCAGGAACTGGCTGAGGTGTGCAAACTCGAAGACCACTTTCTGTCTCTTGGTGGCAACCTGACACTGAAGGGGCAGGAGGGGAGGCCGGGAGGGGTGATGCCTCCTCCTCCTCCTCCTCTCCCTCCCTTTCTTCTGCTTCCCTTTCCTTCATTTTCCCCAGTTAGTTCACCCCCGTCTCCCTCCGGCCCAGATCCACGTCCTCCTCCTTGGGTGGAGAATTGGAGCCCCCGCCCCAGGTCCCTAGATGGAGCGGGAACTGCTGTGGCCTCCTTCCCTCCTGCCAGGCGGTTTCTGGGAGCTGACGGCCCGGCATGGCGTTGGCCCCTTCCGTTTGGGCTTCTAGAAGCCTAGCCGAGGAGGCGGTGGGACAGCCCGCCTCTTGCCTCTCACAGGGCGCCCTCTCCCCTCAGCACAAGGCTGTGTCCTGGGCCGAATCGCTTTCAGTCCTTATAGCCTTACAGCGGGTCTGGGAGGTCCTGCCGACTCCCACCTCACGCCGAGCAGAGATGAGCTCGTTTGGGTGGGAGTCAGCTAGAGTGGTCACTAGAGTGACCCCCCAGTCCCCATGCTACGTGGCCTTGGCTTCAGGGGGCCGCTGGATCCCGGGGGGCGGAGGGACAAGGTCCGGGGAGCAGATGGAGACCTACCAGGAGGACTTGTATCCTTTCGTTTTCTCTCGACCGGATTCTTTGAATCTCCTCTCTCTCTTTCCTTAGACACTCAAGACACTTCTGTATTTGTTCCTGGAGAGAAAGCGTATGTAGTATGTTACACAGAAGCAATGACTCGTGAAGAGGACATGACCTGACGGAGGGAGCACCCCTGGCTGACAACACCTGTGTCCCAACTGTCCGCAGCATCTGGCTCTCTCCAGGCCCTTTCCTTCTCGCTGTGCTCTCCAGGAAACTCTCCCTGTGCCAACACAGCCCATGACTCAGTTTCCCCATCCGAGGCTGGCTGTCTTCAGCTTAAAAACCCTAATTTGTTGGGGTGCCTGGGTGGCTCAGTGGGTTAAGCCTCTGCCTTCGGCTCAGGTCATGATCTCAGGGTCCTGGGATTGAGCCCCACATCGGGCTCTCTGCTCAGTGAGGAGCCTGCTCCCCCACTCTCTCTCTCTGCCTGCCTCTCTGCCTACTTGTGATCTCTGTCTGTCAAATAAATAAATAAAATCTTTAAAAAACAACAACCCTAATTTGTTTTGTCTCTGGTAAGCTAGGCCTGGGATCTGTCCCGAGCCTGATATGCCCTTCCTTGAAAGTGTTCCGACTTGCTCACATCTCTCTCAGAGGGAACGCATACACACAGTCCCTTGTTGTGAATAGAACCCATTTTCTGTGTCTGATTCCAGATGGGAGAAGACACTTGGATAACATAAAAATAGCCGACACACTGCTGTAAAAACGGCTTGGTGTGGAGTAGAGTAGGAACAGGAACTCACACACGAACATCCACATAGGGACACTGAGAAAGACAGAGAGTGCTCTCTCGTCAGATGCTGGCGAGCTCGTGGACACGCAGTGGATGACGGGGAGGACCACACACCCGGGTTTGCCCCCCTGCACGCAAACACTGGTTTATTCACCAACACGAGCACACAGGCCTCCCTGCACACACCACATGCACGTCGTGCACATCACACTGTCTGCACTATTGTCCCCCAAATGCAGACACCCTCAGACGTGCGGGGCTGGCCCAAGTGGCCACCCAAACAGTCCACGCATCCTTGTTGAGCCCCGGAATCTGTGGCCATATGTGAGCAACACGGAACATGCTACAGCACGCCTGGGGCTCTTGCCCGAGGGAGGACAGGGAGAGGGAGACGGGCTATGCCCCGGACCCCCGCGTGCCCTCTCCTACCCTGTAGGGCCCTGCTGCCTCGTCCAGGAAGCGCACGGTGTGGGCTCGGTGCTCCCAGGCCTCCCGGCACACCACACACAGCTGCATCTCATCGTCCTCACAGAAGAAGTAGACCTTCTCCCCGTGCTCCCTGCAGATGTCCTCTGCCTCGGAGTCCGGCGAAGACACCAGCTTGAGGTGCTCGATGCTCTCCACCACGCTGGCCAACTGCCAGTTGGGCCGGAAGCTCCCCGGGCGGAAGGGCTCCTTGCAGAGGGGGCAGGGGAGGGCCTCCCCGTGGAGGGCCTCCCCGGGGTCCGTGCCTGGGATCTCGCAGTAGCGTGTGAGGCAGCCCCGGCAGAAGTTGTGGCCACAGTCGATGGTGACCGGCTCCCTCAGGGTGCCCTGGCAGATGGGACAGTTGACCTCATCTGCCAGGCTGGTCACGGAGGCAGCTGTGGCCATGGCCCCGCTGTGCCCGTTGGCACCTCAAGGTCACTCTCTGTGTGGGGCTGAGCTGGAAGGATCTGGGAAAACAGCAAGAACACACACTCGTCCTCACACGGCCAGACACGGCCATGTCGTAGATACGCACAGACACCCTGGTGGTCGTGAACGGGCAGGCACACACACAGACATGTGCGCACACACAGACGCGCACTCACATGTGCACACAGACGCGCGCACAGACACGCGCACACGCACCCCCGAGGACAGGGCACTCACCTGATGCCACGGTCCTCTTGTCCTCCTCCCAAAGGAGCGGACGCCCCCGCTCCAGGAGAGGGAGGAAGGAGGCCCGGCATTCCAGAGCCGTCCTCAGGCACCGTCTGGGCTCAGCCCACAGCCCAGGGCGCGGCGTCTGACCCGTCCCTGTGCCTGCGCTCGCGGTATCTTCGCCGTCCACAACTGGCAGAGATAGTCCTTGTTTGGGGTGGGAGGTGGACCCGGTCGGGGACCGGAGAGGCCACACCAGCCCCCTGCGGTAGGACCAGCTGCCCCCAGGGAGATATGGTATCGGCCGGCGCAGCGAGCGGGAGGGCGCAGATAAGCTGGCTGCGCTCAGGGACACGTCCCCGGCCTGCCGCCGGCTTCCACGGAGGCGAGAGTCAGCCCTGCGTGGGGAGCAGGGAGGAAACCGGGAACGGCCGGCACTTGTTCAGGACCCACCGCTCACGCCGGTGTCTGTCCGCGGTGCGCCTGGAGCCCCCCGCCGCTCCGGAGCGAGCCTGGCACTGCCAGCGCGGGACCCCGCGTGTGCATGGGGAGGTGCGGGCCCCCATCTGTGCTCAGATCTGAGCGCCCCAGAGCCGCGCCCCCATGCAAACACCACGGGAGCCACCTGTGCAATTCAAGTTTCCACCTGGCCGTATTTTAAAAAGGGAAGTTAATTTTAGTATTTTATTTAGCCCCAAATACAATCATTTCCACGTGTAACCAGTCTAAGAATTAGGAACGAGGTATTTTGCGTTCCTTCTAACAGGTGTATCGTTTGGAGAGCTGCGCGTCTTTGCTGGGACCCGCCACATTCCCGTGCTCGGTGGCGGCGTGGAGCTGCGGGCTCTGGGAGGGCGGTGGTGGGTGGCCGCCCCCGCCCGGGAGGGCCAGGGCGGTTGGGAAGGAAATGGGGTACACACAGCAGCTCAGGTGCAGAGTGAAGGAAACAGCGCAGGGCGGATGGCTAGCGTCAGAATGGGGTTCCCCTGGGTTTTATGCACAGATGCAAGGAGCGGATGAACCGCAGCCTGGACCATCACGTGGGGGAAGCACAGGGGCTGGGGGCACAGGCCCTGAGCTAAGGAGACTCGGACTGACCCCTGCATCGCAGCTCTCCAACTCCATGACCTCAGGGAAGTCGGTTCACATGTCATGCTGTCAAGTGAAGGTAATCACACCTGTCCCGAAGGGCTGTTAAAAACGGAAGTGGACTGTATGGGGACACTGGCTCCCCGGCTGGCGGCGGCAGAGGTGAGGAGGTCTGCCTGGGTGGGTAAGGTGAGCCGAGAGGGAGGCAGAGGAGTGGCTGGAGAACCCCTCCCTCCGCAGTCTGGACTTTGACACCGAGCGCACACCTGAGAGTGGAAGCTGGTGGCTCCCACAGGCTCAGTGGACAGGAAGCAATGTCACCTCCCTGTGTTTCCTCCTAGAACTCTCCACCCCACAGCGGTCAAGGGTGGGGTTCCAGGAAACCCATCTCCCTGTGAGCTCATGCATGCTGGGCTCCCCACCCCAGGGACAGAAGGACGCGACAGGAGCGGAGGACAGACTGACCAGGCTCCTGCTGGGAAATGCTGGGTCACTTCAAGTGCCCTGGAGTTTGAACCTACTCAGCTGATGGGTGGTGGCGGTGGCTTCCCAGGCCGAACCCTCCCGCTTTCTTGCAGCCTCCTATTGTGTTCCCTCCATGACTCACGCAGGAGTGACGGATATCAGGGACAGGGGATTTGGTGGCCTGAGGCAGAGGCCTCTGTGGACAGGCCGCAGACAGCAGCGGGGTGCCCTCTGTGCCTTCCCGTGAGGAGCCCACCCATGCAGCCTGCAAGGGAACACTGGAGGATGCAGTAATCTGCACCCGTGGACACATCTTCTGCCAGGCTGTGCCTCCCCCCACCCTCCCGGATGGGGGCCCGGCCCTCCTGCCAGGTGCTGCCTTGTGTACTCTGCAAGCAGAAGGAGCCCACCCAGCCTCTCATGGTCCCTGTGCCCCTGGGCCCTCTGGGGGAGACGTGCTGTGAGGAGCACGGTGAGAAGATTTACTTCTTCTGTGAGATCGATGCTGAGTTGCTCTGTGTGGTCTGTCGGGAGAGTCCCTCCCACTGCACCCACCCTGCAGCCGTCCTCAATGGGGCCGTTCAGCCCTACCGGGTAAGAGGGACGGCTTTTGGGGGGCCTGTGTGGGCTGGGACAGCGTCCTGTTGCCCACCGTGGAGGGAACGGGTAGGGATCTGGACGAAGGACCATGGCTCCCCGTGGACGTGTGGCTGTTCACAGGCTCAGGGGGACCTCAGCCTCATGGGGCCCCATGGCGACAGGCACAGAGAGTTGCATCCGTGAACGAGTGCATGGGACGGTCTTCTGCCCACTGTGGGCAGGTGACCTTGGCCTCCCAGGACCCACACAGGGTATGGGATTTGCCAAGGCCGAGACTGCTGGGCTGAGAGGGATGCAAGGGAAGAGCAAGGCCGGCCTGCAGGAGCCCCTCTTCCTTGTGGGGGGGGGCATGACACGGCCCGCCTGGGCCCCCCTGCTCGCTCTGTCCATCCAGCCTCTGGGTCTACAAGTGATCTTCTCTGAAGCAGCTCTTGAGTCTTGGACTTATCCCCGCGACCGCTTCCAAATGCAGGCTCTCACCATCCTTGCCCAGACTTGCTCTGCCTCAAACGCTCTCCCTGTGTCCATTCTCGCTCTCCCTGTGTCCATTCTCGCCCTCTCGAAGCATCCTCCAATCTGCCAAAACACGCAGTAGACCATGTTGTTCCCCTGCGCCAAACCCTCCTGTGGGTCCCCGGCGCCAGGAAAGCTCGGCATGGTCACTGGGCCCCAGTGCCACCTGAGGGACAGTCCAGGCGTGTGTGGCACGCGCAGACCCTCTCTAGACCCACTGTAAGCACTTTCTGTCTCTGCAGCTTCCCCTTGCCCCTTGCCTCGCTGTGTTCCCACCAGCTGCTGGCACCCCGGACTCCGCCTTCCCTGTCCTTCAGGCGGGGCGGTGATCTCCAGGTGATCTCTGCAGGGATGAGGACCGCCCTGTTCACCTTTGAGTCTCTCCCCATCGCCGGTGCACCTGGGACTCAGCAGACGCTCTCTGTGAACTAAGCCGCCGCTCCCTGCCCGTTCTTCTCCCCACAGGACCATCTCTGGAGCCAGTTGAAAGCTCTGCGCCTGGAGAAGAGCAAGATGGAGGCCACATGGCAGCGGGAAGACAGGAAGCTCCAAGAGCTTCTGGTAAGTGCTTCTGATATCTGGTCTTCAGGGGCTTGAGGGAAGCTCCCTGTCAGGTACTCTTGTGCTGTCCTCATTCACGTCCTTGCCTCTCTGCGCGGGCATTCAGGGTCAAGGCTGTGGAATCCCAGAACTTCACGGCTAGAGATGGTTCTGAGTCCTGGCCCAGGACCCATCTTCTCAGCAGCTTTACAGAGAGAACAGGTCCGGGAGCGGAACGTCCCGCAGGGCAAAGCCCATGGTCACGATGACGTGGCTACAGCCCGGATCTCTCTCTCTCTTAACACTTACTTATTTGAGAGAGAGAGAATGGGAAGGGGAGAGGGAGAGAAACTGAAGCAGACTCCCAGCTGAGCTCAGAGCCCGCCCACGGAGCTGGCTCTCAGGACCCTGAGATCATGACCTGAGCTGAAATCGAGTCAGACGCTTCCGCGACTAAGCCAGCAGGTGTCCCTAGAAGCCGGGAGTCTTGGCCCAGAGCCACTCTTCCCATCCCATTCCGTGTGTCCTAAAGCACTGCCTTCAGATAGGAAGGGGTGGGTAGGTGTGTGAGGTGTCAGTGTCGCTGACCGCGGGGCTGGCCTGAGCACGTCGGGTGAGCTGTAGGGCCACCTCTCTGAGCTACACAGTCATCCAGGAGGAAAGCCGCAGTCTGAGAATTTCGGGTGCCTTGACCAAGGGAACAGAGTTGTGGGGCAGGAAGAGACCCGCAGCTCTCCTTGGCTCCCTTCCAAGCGTGCCGTGCGGAGGGCGATGTCAGGGGACAAGAGCGATGCCACACACTCGAACCACGGCCTGGTTCCTTCAGTGGCTCTTGGACGGACAACTCCCACCAGCTCCTCCTGACTCTAGGGAAGGCATGGTGAGGTGAGAGCCATGTTGCAGATGGGGAAGGGTGCTTGAGAAGCTCAACATGGCTCTGAGGGCATTCTGGGGCGTTGTTCTTAGACTCTCCGGTAAGACAGGGGCACAGCCCTCACCGCTGGCAAGTCTGTTCTGAGACCCATTCCGCCATAGTACTGAGAGAGCTAGGGACTCCCTGTGTCTTTGAGTCGTGACAATACAGGTGACCCTCCTGGAGACCAGCCTCCCCATCTTCCTCCTGGCCTGTTTCTCCATTTACCCCGCGCAGACTCACATTGAAAGCAAGAAGCAGCAGGTGGACGCGGCGTTTGGGAAGCTTCAGCAGGAGCTGGCGGACCAGCATGGTCTCCTGCAGGCCAGGCTACGCGAGCTGGAGCTGCAGACCTGCATGGAGAGGGACCAGTACAATTCCAAGTTCTCCGAGGAGATCACCAGGCTCGGAGCCCAGGCCCAGGAGCTGGAGGAGCAGAGCCAGCAGCCAGCCAGCGTCCTACTGCAAGTGAGGCCTTGCCCGCCCCGTGGGCTAGGGGAGGGGCCAACCAGGAGGGGACACGGGCAGAGGGCCCGGGATGCTGGGACAGGCGGGAAGGGCAAGTGGCCGTTGGTTCCACTGGAAGGGACTGCCAGGTCTCGGGTTGCACCAGCCCAGAGAGCTTACAGACTGCAGACCCAGGAAGGCCGGATGACTTGTCTACCCACTGTGGTCGTGTCAGGGACCTTGCAGTTGGGGGGCCTTGGGTTTGAGGACAGGGTCTTCCAGCCATGCGACCGGGGCGAGCCTCATGAGCCCTCTTAAATGTGGGGATAATAACAGCACCTCCCTCACAGAGCTCGTGCAAAGATGGTAGGAAACAGTCCATACGAAATGCTTAGCATGGTCCCTGGCTCACACAGATTATCATTCTTTTATCCCATTTCCCATCGGGTCCGGCGGGTAACTCGAGCCTGGACCCTGTTCCCCAGCAGCCCTCAAGCCCTGGAGGCAGAACACGGTCCCCAGAGAAGGCTAAGTCAAAGAAGCCAGCTCTAATGACCTGAGCAGAGTCCCAAATGAGCTGGGAGGCGGGATGTGACAGAGGTGTGATGAGTAGGGAACGGAGCAGACACAGGGCTCGGGAAGAGACAGCTCTGAGGCCGGATGATAAGGAGGACAGGCTGTGTGGAGTCTCCGGTGGGAAGGACGTGTGGACACTGAGTGCATGTTCTTTCTCTTTTGTAGGATGTCAGAGCCGACCAGAGCAGGTAGGGCCTTCTCCCAGTCCTGCCTCCTTGACACCTGGGATGTTCACTTTGTTCCTCTCACCTCTGTTCCCCTGGACACAGACCGAGGGGGGCCCTCTGTACCCTGCCCCCCACAGGAATGCAAATTCACTTTGACAGACAGACACACAGTCTCCACCTAAAGGGCTGTGCTCCAAGAGTCCGTTGTTTGGTATCAGGGATACGGTTTTCCCATGGAGGTGAAATTATAAGCCATAATCGTGTTTTTAGGCTGATGTAGGAACGCCTGTTTAGTTCTCAAAATTACTGGTACTCGAGTCAGCATTGAACAGCATGTAAACTGTAACTCCGAGGGGAGAGATTGTTTATAAACTGCGGTGGCACAGAGCGTGGGAGACTGGCATGTGTTTCCAGTCCTTTCCCAGCTCAGTGGCCCCATGTCCTTCAGGGGCTGCAGAAGCCACCACAAAGGGCAGCCCCTGGCCCCATGCTGTCCTCTGCTGTTTGCACTTGTGCCTTCTCTGTGCTCTGCAAAGAGCACTTGTTATTCAGCCACAGGGTCTGGACCTGGGGTCCAAGGCTTGGGAAGGGTCTCCCAAACTTTCTTTCTTTCTTTTTTTTTCTTTTTAAACATTTTATTTATTTATTTGTTAGAGAGAGAGAGCGAGCGTTAGCACGGCAGACAGAGTGGCAGGCAGAGGCAGAGAGAGAAGCAGGCTCCCTGCCGAGCAAGGAGCCCAGTGTGGGACTCGATCCCAGGACCCTGGGATCATGACCCGAGCCAAAGGCAGCCGTTTAACCAACTGGGCCACCCAGGCGTCCCATGTCTCCCAAACTTTCAAAGAGTGTTTGGGGTATAGAGCTAAAGGGCTGTGCAGTCCTTTAGCTGGTCTGATGAGGGCACCGAGCCTGCTCGAGGTCCTGCTGTGGGGGACAGGCAAGGACGGAGCTATTACCGGTTTTCTCTTATCTCCCCTCCCACCCCCTTTCCCCTAGTAATGAACAGCACTCAGATTAGAAAGAAGAGTTTTAAGGTCATTTTTCCACCGACACTGTACTGTCCTCTAGAGGCAAACAGGGTAATGATCTCTGCCCCTTCCAGCCTCCATAGACCCCAGACATTCTCTTAGAGGACCTACCTCTAATTCTTTTTTTTTTTTTTAATTTTTAAAAAGATTTTATTTATTTGACAGATATCACAAGTAGGCAGAGAGGCAGGCAGAGAGAGAGGAGGAAGCAGGCTCCCTGCTGAGCAGAGAGCCCGATGAGAGGCTCCATCCCAGGACCCTGAGATCATGACCAGAGCCGGAGGCAGAAGCTTCAACCCCCTGAACCCCCCAGGCACCCCTACCTATAATTCTTAAGGGCTGGTTGTCTGTAGGTATGAGACAAGGACTTTTGTGAATCCAGAGACAATTTCTCCAGACCTTGTCAAGAAGATCCGAGATTTCCACAGGAAAACACTCTCCCTCCCAGAGATGCTGAGGACCTTCTCAGGTAAAGGGGAGGGGCAGCAGCTTTCCCATCCCCCGCTGGTGGGACAGCTGTGTCCTCCTCCCGTCACCACCTTCCCCCTGCCTGCCAAGCCTGGCTCTTGGTGTCTTCCCTCTCTTAAGCCTTCCCTTGGTGGCCTCGCTCTGCTCAGTGGGACTGGTCCCGAGAGTATCTTCTCTCCCCAGGGACCTGCACTGGGCTGAGCGTCCAGGCAGGTGACGGCGGCTTGTGTCTCAGTAGACCACAGCAGAGGGCACAGAGCAGACGGCCATCTGCCGCCCCTGGGCTCACACGGTTCCCAGCTCTGCTCTTGGGAATGCTTGTGGGAAATCACAAGTCACACACCTTTCTGTTTCTGTTTCTCTCAGAAAACCTGGCGCATCATCTGGAAACAGACTCAGGTAAACAGCTGGGGGTTTGGGGATTCCTTCTCTCCTCTGTCCAGTCAGTCCAGAGCAGTTACCTCTGCGAAGTCTGGAGCCTGACCACTGGGTGGTCTGCTCTCGCTTTTGCTGGTTATGAGTCATGGCAAGCCAGTGTGCCTCCTGGTTCTGGTTCGTTCTCCTTAAAATGGAGCACACACTGGTTCGGACCCCATGGGAGGCCAGGACATAGAGGAATGCACACATGTAAAGGGCTTAGTGCTGTTCACGCTTGTTCCTTGTCTGATGTTATCTCCTCAAAAATAGTCATGAAACTCTTGGTTGGGCGTGTGTGTTCTGCCCAGCATTGCGCCAGACTCTGTGGACTTGAACAAATGCATAGTTTTTAAAAAACAGCGTCTATTTTACTTGATTTAACGTGCCAGAGGAACACCGGGGGATCTTGTTCCAAGGCAGACTCTGAATCACTGCACCCTGGCATGCCGGCCCCGGCTGCGCTCTGAGACGCACACCCTCAGGGCGCCGCACTGGCCCGCACGGCGCTAGACCGCGGTCCTCCGTCCGGGAACAGACCGCTGCCTCCCCCGCGCCGCGTGCGCCCGGGGCGCGTCCCTCCCAGCCCTGCTCTCTTCCCGCAGGGCCCGTCCCGCCGGACCCGCGCGCCCTCAGCCGGAGCCTGGCCCTCCCCGAGGACAGGAAGCCGGCGACGTTCACCCGGGACAAGCAGGACCTGATGCACAGCACCCTGCGCTCCGAGGGTGTCCCGGCGGCGCTGGGCACCCCCCGGCTGTCTCTCAAAGCTCCACCGCAGGTAGGTGCGGCGGGGAGCTCCTGGGGAGGCGGGTCGCGAGGGGGCGGGGCCTGAGCTCAGACCCCAGGCTCTCGCACCTGCTGCTCCCGGCGCGCCCCTGCCGGGCTGCGCCCCGCCGCAGAGGGCACCCGGTCTTCGTCGCCCGCTCGCCTGCTCATTGCCCTGCTTCGGCGGTCTGGGAAACAGGTTCTTGTCTGCCTCAGCGGCGGCGGGCGTCGTCCAAGGGACGCCGCCACGGAGACCAGGGGGCTGCTGGGGCACACGGGCAAAGCTGGGGAGCCCGCGCGCTTTAGAAAAAGAGAACAAAACACCACTACGCTAAAAACTGCCGGAGCTTCAGAAATAATCACCACGGGGAAAGCAAAGCTGAGCCGGGCTTGTTCTAATTGATGGAGCTGACTGTTGGGTTCCTGTTCCGTCGCGCGCTTGGAGACGCTGCAGGCGCAGGGCCTCTTCCTCCAGCCCCGGGACTCCCACGTCCCCTCCTTTCTGACATTAGGTCACGTTTCTTTCTTGTAGAGGGTGTCTAATAAAGTATAGGTACCGTCACACTTCTGCATGGCATGGGTCTCATCTGCGCAGGTCAGTGGGATCTCTGGGACCAGGACGCAGTCCTGTCCCTGATGGCACTGTTCCCTAAGATGACATGCTGTTCAGGTCTAAGGAACCTCTCGGATAGTCACTGTTATTACCATTATTATTACTGGATGATGGGGCTTTGGTTCACTTCTTGTGCACTGACCTAGTGTTTTGGACAAGCAAGCCTTTTTTTTTTTTGGCTTGAGTATGGAATTGAAAAAGCGAATGAGCCACCTACACTGTATTTCCAACTGTGACTAAATTTAGGGTGAGTGGCTCAGGTAATTTAGGGGTGTGGATAGGCACAGATGGAGGCTCTGGGCCAAAATTAAACTGCTCTGCATAAGAAAGAAAATGGAATTTGAAAGCTTAAGGAGTAGGAGAATGGGGAGCTGCCTGGGGGGAAATCACCCATTGGTGATCCCACAGGACAGTGTGAAACGCAGGGTTTGTGATGTAAACCACCCTTTATCTCTGGCGGGGTAGCCTCAGCCGCTGAACCCTGGGCTCAGTGCTTCTTTGTAAGCATTGCTGCTCTTGGGACTGTGAGAGCACTGAGCTCTGTCCGCTTCCGGCCAGAGCAGCCGGGCTGCTGGCTTATGTGAGGGGCTGCCATGCACTTGGAGTGCCTCAGAGAACCAGAGCGGTGGTTGTGAGGACGCACATGGGGTATGTAGGAGGACTCGGTCCACAGCCCAAGAACCGTGATTACAGCAGCCTGCGAGCCCCAGCCCAGGCCTCCCTCTTCTTGCTTTGCTCTGCACGCGGGGTGGTCTTCCTATCTGTGGGCAGTCTTGCTGGCTTCACTTGTGCCCTTTATTTCCCACTCCTGCCAATTCCCCCCTTTTCCTTGGACTTCAGGGCAGAGAGCTGTCTCAGTCATATTCCATGGGTCCTGGTGAGCAATCCGCAGCAGCCCAGGCGAGGTCCTCTCGTGTTCTCTACACTTTCCCCGATCTCCCTCGATTCTCTTTCCCATTCTCCTCACCCCCACAGGCACGACTCTCATGTTTTCACATGTCCTCGGCTACAGGGGGAGCTCTGAACATACCTAGTACAGGACTGTTTCTACCTTTTTTTGAGCTGCGATCTCGGCTTTAAGATCCAGGCATGTTGCTGTACATACATCTAGTTTATGGCTTCTAGAGTGTTCTACAGAACACGTCAGCTATGTCTCATTATACTTCCTTTCAGCAAAGAACATGTAGGTTACTGTCTCCTGCCCCGCTGAGTGGGGAGCCTGATGTGGGGCTCGATCCCAGGACCCCGAGATCATGACCTGAGCCGAAGGCAGATTCTTCACTGCCTGAGTCCCCCAGGCGTCCCAACTTTTCTGATGACTTTACCTGATAACGATGCAGTTCACTGCTGATGTGTTTCACAACCACATACAGATTCTTTAACCTGCCCAGGACCCTCTTGGCTGAGCCACCATCTACCTCGGTGCTTTGCAAACCTTAGCATTTAAACACCATCTGAGAGTTTTATTCAAATCAAGTTCTGACTACAAAGGTGTAGGGAGGGACTTGAGATTTTCTGAAAGTTCTCAGGGGATGCTAGGGCTGCAACCAGACCCCTCCAAGCAGGGATCTACATCACTGCCCCCACCCCGCACACCTTACTGTGGACCTTCAATCCCAGACTCCTGAGAAAGGCTTTTGATTGGTTTGGTACTGACTTTTGTGCCAGACTGTAAGTCTCTAGCCCGTGTGTGTCTGGGGACCCTTGATAACCTCCGCGGGGCCGATCACTGTGGCCGACGGATCCTGCTACAGCTCGTAGCCCTTTGGCTTGGTTGTTGTGGGGTCAAACCCTATGCTCTGCCAGAGGGAAGTTACTTAATTTCTCGGAGTCTTAGTCTTCTGTGAAAAAGCAATCAAAATGCCTGCTCTATAGGATTATATGTGGCTTAAATGGATTAATAGGCGTAATGCAGTTCTGGAACCCAACCCCAGTGTGGGGTAGATGGGTTTTCCTGACCCCGACGCCAATGATGTGGACCAGCTAGGTGTCCGGCAGATTCCACTCAATTCTGGCACCATCTACACGGGACGGCGTTGGATTTCCCAGGTTATGGGCTCAGGCCCGCCAGACTGCCCTCCACGTCAGATGCCTCACCCGCTGGCTGTAAATCAGAAGTTCCCATGTCCCTTTCCTTGGGTTCCACTAATTTTATGGAGTGACTCACAGAACTCAGGAAACCTGTTTACTCACTATATTATTGACCTATTGCAGATATTAAGGATCTGAATCAACAGCCAGATGAAGAGATACATAAGGGACGTGGTGAGCGAAGGGACTTCTGTCTTCGTGAAGCTTGAAGACCAGTGTGGCAGCGTGGGGGAAGCATTCTGGTCCCTGGCTGGGAGTTCTCTGTACGCCGTCCTCTGGAGTTTTCATGGAGGCTTCATTACGTAGGATAACTGATTAAATCAGTGGTCATCGGTGATGCATTCAACTTCAAGCCCCTCTCCCCTCCCCAGAAATCAGGGTGTGGGACTGAAAGTTTCAACCTTCTAATCATGAATGGCAGTTGCCTTGTTAACATAAACCACTTGGGGAAAAAGGGAGCCTGTTTTCAATAACAAAACACCCATCACCCTCACAGCTCTGAAGAGATTTCAGAAACCGAGGACAAGAGACTGAAAATTATAACAAAAGATGGTTCGGGAAATTCCAAGGTTTTAGGAGCCATGAGCCAGGAACTGTGGACAAAGACCAAAAATACACGAGAAATATATTTTGGTCAAACGCATAGTTCCTATAAATCACAGTGTCACAGCGTGCAACGGGCTTGGTGCAGAGTGTGGCATTTGCTCCGCAGGTGATGCTGTTTGGTTGTGCCCAAGACTTGGGACAAACGCTCAGAAGGAGACCCTCGCAGGAGGCCCAGTGAGTGGTCTGCAGAGCGGGAATCAAACTGCTCTGGACCCTTTAAATGTGCACCAAAGAGGACCTATTTATTATTATTTTTAAATTTTTATTTTTTAACTTAGATTCAATTAACTAACATAATATAATTAATATAATGTATTAGAGGTTTCAGAGGGAGAGGTCAGTGACTCATCAGTTGCTTACAACACCGAGGGCTCGTCACATGAGGTGCCCTCCTTAATGCCCATCCCCCAGCTACCACATCCCCCGCCCTCACCCCCTCCCCTCCAGCAGCCCTCAGCTGGTTTCCGGTGATTAAGAGTCTCCTATGGTTTGTCTCCCTCTCTAGTTTTGTCTTATTTTATTTTTCCTTCCCTTCTTCTGTGTTCATCTGTTTTGTTTGTGAAATTCCACATCTGAGTGAGATCATAAGATAATTGTTTTTCTCTGACTTAGTTCACTTGCATAATACCCTCTAGTTCCATCCACATCGTTGCAAATGGCAAGATCTCATTCTTTTGATGGTTGAGTAATATTGCATTGTGTGTGTGTGTGTATGTGTGTGTTTATACACCACTTCTTCATTATCCATTCATCTGCCAGAAAAGGAAAAAAAAAACCCTATTTAGGAGCCGGGTCACCTCCACTTACCCATTCTTTCTCTCACATACAACTGAAAAGCCTGTGGTCTAGTGAGAAATCTGGGCTAAGTCCAGTACCACACTCGGGGACAGAGATGACCGAGGCCCAGAGTTCACACGCAGCACCCGGGTGAAGGAAGGAGAGGGGGCGGGACGGGTTCTGGTCATGGCTGGCTTTCCGGCATGTCCAGGGCTGGGGGCGTCCTGAATTCTAAGAACACTGCAGCTTCCTTGCCAGAAGGTCACAATAGGGAGTTAAAAAAAGTATTCAAATCCACAGAAGAGTTTAAAAAAACACTAAACAGAGAAGCGCTGTGTAGACTACGGTGTTTGGGACTAGGTGGCTATCAGCAGTGCATGTTATCTTTGTACAGTCTCCCTGCCCCACCCCCTTCTGAAAGAGGACACAGAGCTAATTATCTTCATGGTGACAATGAGGCCATTGCCGCCAGGATCATTGGCTCACAGGCTTCTCTTTGTAGAGGGCTCCAGAGACTGGCTGGGTGGGGCCCGAGAGCCCTGCAGAAGGGTGTGGGAGAAGGGTGTGCTGGGTGTTCGAGAAGTCGGGTGAGTGCCCTAGAGAACGAGGGCTCCCGCTGGGCACCTGACTCAGCCTTGGGAAACCCTCCCCTCTGCCCAGGGCCCAAGGACACAGAGGATCCCTCCCACCTTCCAGAACTTGCGACTTTACACCTGTCCTCACAGAGCCGTCCATTCCCGGCCCCAAGTAGGGGCTTCTACGCCCTGGTGCGTCACCTTGTTTCCCACAGAGCTGGAGCCAAGGTCGTGCGTGGTCTCCCCAGCCCCTTGTGCTCAGCGGAAAGCACGGGCTCAGGTTCTGTGAGCTTCTGGAGGCTTACTGAACCTCCCTAACCGTCTAGTCCGGTCTGAAAACCGAGAACCGGTGTCTACCTTGGGATTGTTGTACGGAGTGAAGGAGACACCACCTGTGTAAGGAGAAGCAGGGATTTCCACCTCTGCGGGGAGCCACGCAGCTCTTCCTGCTGTGTGCTGCTGCCAGGCCTCCTGTCCTGTGTGCGGGTGGCACCTCCCTCTGGTCACCGGGTGCACAGTTATCCCTGCATTAAGCCGTTCTCACGACACCAGGAGGACGTTCTGTTCTTCATGTCCCTTCTGACCCTGTCCCCCTGGAGACAGCATCTGATCACACAGGTGAAGGGCTCGATCCCACGAGAGTGCCCGCTGCCTCGCAGATGCCGGTCACCAGCCCACAGCGTCCTCTGTGCTTCTGGTGATCAACGGTGGACCAGAGGTTCCCACGGGGGCTCCCCGGGCTCCACTGACCTGTCAGGAGCGCTCACGGTGGGCAGAGACGCGCTGACTAGTCTCTGGTTGACTGAAGGACTGATAAAGGGTGCAGATGACAGCCGGATGAAGAGACACCCAGGGATCCTACAGGAGGGTCCCAGGTGCAGCGGCTTGTGTCCCCTGGAGTTGGGGTGCTGCCCCTGGGCGTGGGGGTGCTCAGCCGCCTGGAAGCCCCCCAACTCCGTGTGATTGGGATCTCATGGGGGCGCCCTCACGAGGGCATGTGCGTCATTAGCTCCATTCCCTGCCCCTCACCCAAACGGCTCGGCTTGCGGTGGCTGGGTCTCTGGGGACCAGACCCCTGTCCAGGAGCCTGCCCAGAGGCACCGCACTGAACGGGGGATGCTCCTAGAGCCATTATCACGGAGGACAGTATGAGGGTTTGGGAGCTCTGTGCTAGGAACCAGGGCCAAGACCCATGGATGCACGTTGTGCTATCTCACGACAGGGGGACACGCAGACATCGCCTGGCACGGTGGGAGGCTCCCGGCCGCTGCTGATAACAGCGGGCAGTGCCTCCCACCCAGCAAACAGGGCACAGACATCAAATCCTACAGACCAACAGTAGCAGGGCCCACGGGCAGGCGCCCGAAAACAAAGCGGGCGCATGGCGGATTCGGATAAGGTGAACACCAAAACACGAGGGAAACACTGGACATGGAAGGTGCTCTGGGGGGTCACCACATGACCTTGCAGTAAGGGAGGACTGCTTCAGTAAGACCGGTGGGTAAGTTAAGGAATAAACACAGCACCCACCACAAGTTCCCCAGCATTAAAGTTAAGGACTTCTGATTACTAAGACGCCAGAACAGAGTGAAGAGGTAAGTTACAAACTGGGGAAAGACACTGACAATACATAGAACGGACAAAAGACTAGAATCCAGACACTACAAAAACCGCAGATCCAGACGCAAGAGAACCTCGAAGAAAAATTCAGAGGACCAGAGCAGGCCCTACCCAGGGAGGAATCCCAGAGCCACCGTCCTCAGCAACCCCGTGAGGCGAATGACAACGGCCGTGAGACCGATCGCCCGTCAGCCGGACCGGGAAGACTTCATCAGCTGCACTGTCGGGAGGACAGAGGGACACTGAGACACTCTACGTTTTGTTAATTCAAGCATGCATGTAAGACTTTATGGGTAGAGAGAAGGAAAATATGTAACTTCCCAACCAGGAGCAGAGAAACACGGGGATTAAGAAAATTTAACCCAACAAAGAAAAAAAAAAGCACAGAAAAGAATGACAAATAGAAATCATAAAATACGATCATAAAAATTTATTGGTTTCTCAATAATCACAATAAATGTAAACAGAATAACTCCTATTTGCTGAAAGACCAGTTTCTAGACTGGAAAAAAAAATCCAGCTATGTTGTTTACAAAATAAGTGATAAAACAATGACCCTGAAAGATTAAAAATAAAATACTGGGCAGTGATAGTGAAGGGAAAGTCGATGTAACTGTATCAATGTCAGAGAAGACATATTTCAATGCAAGAAATATTATTAGGTGGAGAAACAGGGATAGTACATTTTGGTAAAAGGAACAATTTATCTGGAAACTATAACAATACTAAGCTCTCATACATCTAACAATTCATGATCAGTTACAAAAAGAACAGAACAGCAGATTTTAAAAGATATTTCTTTCAGTCACTGATACTCAAAGACACAGAAAATGATTAGGATCTAGAATATTGGAGCCACAAAATAAGATTCTTCTAATAAAGATAGAGCATATTTGAATAACAAAATATAATTCATCCAACGATTATACAAAGAACCCTGAACTTAAGGGTAAACATAGTCTTTTTAAAAAAGATTTTAATTATTTGAGACAGAGAGTGAGCACAAGTTGGGAGAAGGGTCAGAGGGAGAAGCAGGTGCCCCACTGAGCAGGGAGCCCGGTGTGGGGCTCCATCCCAGGACCCCGGGGATCACGACCTGAGCCCCTGGGGGCCCCTGATTTTTCTCTGTCACACCCCTTGGGAGACGAACTGAGTCATCACCAGCTTATCCCTCTGTACTACAGTCAAGGGCCCGGAACTTCACGCCAACAGCTCAAGCTGGGTGTGGAGGGCCTCCTGCGTCCATTCCTGGAAACGTGCAGCAGCAGCCTTACCCCTTCCTCTCCTTCTCTCCGTCTCCCCAGCCCAGAGCTGGTTTTCTACCAGCAGGGGTGACTGAGCCCAGCTTAGCGGAGGGAGTTTACAAAGATGCGTGCGGGGTTCAGCAAACCGCCCGTGGACGGTGAAGCACCCCTGGGCTGCAGGGGCGTGGTGGGGAGTCCCAAGTCAGCAGCAGCTCCATGACCGCTCGGGGCAACCCCCCACCCCCACCAGCTCTTGAGGGTCATCTTGGCCGTGCCGGGCCTCTACCTGACTGGCTGCTGCTCCTGCTGCTCGCATCTCTGCCGGCTCCTCCTCGGCCGTGGACAGACGCCGGAGCGCCCGGGTGTCAGCATGGCCCCTCTTAGTGTCGATCTCCACACCTGCCCCAGGGCCTTAGCTGGCCCCTGTGTACTTCTGACTCCCAAGTCTCTGGCTTGGCCCTGACTCTGACAGCCCTTCACCCAGGAGACCTCTCCATTCAGATGCCGACAGAACTCTCAGAAGCAACGCCAGTGAGACCCAAGCCTGACTCCCCAACCAGGCCCAGCTGTCGTGGGGCTGCCCTCGCCCGAACCCCAGACCCGGGGCCGTCGGCCTAATGGCAGATGGCGTTTGCGCGGCCTCGCACGCGCCCCTCCTACTGCCTCGGTCTGCCCGGCCCTCGCTCAGCAGATTCACCCCCGGCGTCCCCTCTCCCGGACTCTCGGCTTCCTTCTCTCTCGGCACAAAGATATTTCAAAAAGCAACCATAGTGTTTTAGGTCCATGATGCTTATTTCCCAACATATGCTATGTTTGTATTTGCTGTGCTTAGTTTATTTATTTATTTATTTTTAAAGATTTGTTAATTTATTTGAGAGAGAGCATGAGCGTGGGGAGGGGGAGAGGGAGAAGCGGACGCCCACTGAGCGCGGAGCCCCGGCAGGGATGGGTCCCACGACTCTGGGGTCACCACCTGAGCTGAGACCAAGAGTTCACTGCTCAGCCGCTGGGGCCCCCAGGCGCCCCGCACTGCTTAATACTTGTCTGTGCCTCTCATGGGACGAGCTCCCTGAAGGAAGGGGGCACCCCCACGAAGAACGGTGTCGGGGGTGTAGGAGGGGCAGCATGCGTGCCGTCTGAGCGGCTCCCTAACCCCAGACCCGGCGGTGTGGTCCCCGCAGCTGGCATGGTCCGCCTGTGCCAACCCCTCCCCTGCTCTTCCTGCCCTCCCTGCACCCTGCTGCAGACATGCGGGTGTCCCCTCCCAGCCTGTCCCTGCCTGTCCCCCTGCCCGTGTGATCCTAGACTCTCCCTATCACAGCAGCCCTGGCCGAGCGAGCGCGGGACAGCAGACACCGGCTCGGCACCCATCACCGTCCTCTTCCAGGTCTCTGCCCACCGCCCTCCAGGTCCCAGCCTGGAAACGTCCTCGCCTACCCCAGCCTCTCGGAAAACCAGTGCAGGAGCCACACGAAGGCCAGAGACGGCAGAGAAAACGAAGGAGGTGCCAACCGTCAAGAAATAACTCAGCAGGGCGCCTGGGTGGCTCAGTGGTTAAAGCCTCTGCCTTCGGCTCAGGTCATGATCTCAGGGTCCTGGGATCGAGTCCTGCATCGGGCTCTCTGCTCAGCAGGGAGCCTGCCTCCTCCTGTCTCTCTCTGCCTGCCTCTCTGCCTACTTGTGATCTGTCAAAAAAAAAAAAAAAAAGAAAAAGAAATAACTCAGCAAACAATGAATTTTGGAACACACACACACACAAAAATAAAATAAAATGAAATTAAAAAAAAAAGGAAAAAACTTAGCAACGTTTCCCTGAACTGAAAGGCCCTGAACTTGCAGATACTCAACATCTCAAAACAGCAACTTACCCGCCCCATCAGGAAGCCACCGGTTTACGAGAAGGAAGTCAGCAAAGAAGAGGAAAACACAGGATGAGGAAACAGGGAAGCCCAACCCACGGGGCTGTGCACAGACGGAGGGTGGTGGGAGACAGGACGGGACACCGACCACAGCAGCCGACGACCGGGCACTGATGGAGGCTGACAACCAGTGAACACGCCGGGCTTCGGTTAGTAATGCGGACGTAGGAAATGAAGCCAAAGGGGAGAGAAAGGCGGTTCCTCTGTCCAGGAAGAGCGGGTTGTCCCCACAGACCCATGTGCAGAGGACTCGGTAAACTGCGCTCAGGCTCGGCCACCGGGCAGGACAGGTGTGCACCCCACGAGGCGGCCAGGTCCAGAGCTAGAGCCCCGGTTGCCGGGGGACGGAGGACAGTCCCACACCAAAGCTGCATCGAGGAAATCGCCTGGCAAGGAGCACCCCGGGGAGAGGAGGGGGCTGCTCTTTTCTCTCCCATGATAAACGCTCCATAGATCTGACCACACGTGTAGGTGAAGTTCACATAAAAAATACTTAAAAATATGATTATAAAAAATAAAAATGTCCAAAAGAATCTAGATAAGTTCCACGTGGCACCTTTCTGTCCTCACGTGGTGGCATAACGTGTGTGTTTTCAGGGATTTGCTGTTTCGTGCGGACACCTCATCGTCTATGCTTTATTCTGGAAGTTTCACGCTCACGAAACGCGTTAAACCAGGACCTGCAAGGGTTCCTGTTTTGTTCAAATGCAAATGTCCCCTAGGAGCTTTTAATTATACAACGATCACCTTAATATTTTTCAAAAATTTCATTATGTAAAAATTCTTTCCAAGAAAGGATAAGCGGCATTTTGAGAATTCTGAAATCTTCCCAAAAATAAAAGATTAGGAGAGTATAATTTTAGGAAACAATTCACATCGATCAACAAAATAAATGTAAATTTTCAAGAATATGCTAGTGATTATTGTCTCTCAGGATTCGAATGTAGATTAACTGACCTCATTATATTAATAACGTGTCTTATTTCTAACAAGTGACACATTTTGCATATCTGTATTTAGAAAGAAAAGTAAAAAGAACAAATGAAAAATAAAAAAAGGGGAAGAGTCATAAATGAGATCTTCCATTTCTGTGTTTAAGATGACAATTAGAAAACAAGCAGAGAGAGCAGACAGGAGATGGTTGGGGGGCTGCGTGTGTCAGAGGGCGCTGGGGGCGCCTCCTTTGGGTAGGGGACCGTGCATTTTCCTTGGAAAGATTCTGGGTGTGCCACGGAATGTCGCCGTGTCATGGGCCGTCCTTGGCTGTGTGGATGCTGGGTGAGAGCATGGGGCTGGTGTGGCGGGACAGGGAGACGTGGGGGCTGCTGTCTGGGGCGGCGGCGTGTCCCAGGAGGGACCCCAGGCCACTGCCGTTCACGCAAGCACTCTGGAGCCACACAAAGGTTATAATAAAGTAAATGAACCCAGTCTGCTCATTGCACAAGTCTTTATTGAGCACCTGCTGTGTGCCCAGCCCTTTGGGAGGTGCATGGGGGTACAAAACTAGAGGCAGAAATAGCAGGGACTTTGCCAGGTGATGTGGGGGCCAAGGTGCTGGGGCATGGAACGCTGCTGCCAGGCCTGGGACGGGTGCACACAAAGGCTGTGGGTGTCCGGCTGGAGCAGGGAGCGTGCAGGTGCCACGAGGCTGTGGTCCAGCCCTCACTCTACATGAAGGTGAGCTCCAGGAGCCCTGCTGGCATCCTCTCCTCTCCCCACTGCCCCGTCCCAGGACGGAGGGGCCTGCAGAGTCATCCGGACCAAGTTTCCACTGTGCAGGGGACACGGGCCAAGGCTTCCAAGGGAAGGCTGGCCTGGACGGGCGTCTGCCCCGGTGACTTCAGACGACCCACCAAGAGCACAGTGTTCTGGACTCCTGTCACCATCTCCCAACACCCCACCCTCAGGTCATTTACTGATCACTGACCACACACAAGGCCTCAAAGCCACGTGCATCCAGAGCTCTCCCCCAAGCAGCTCCGGAGGTCCTAGGTCCTTCCGTGTGCAAACGTCAGACGCTCGACCCTGGTCTCAGAGCATCGAGGCGCCTGCTCTGGGCTTGGCGACTCCACAGCACCTTGGAAGCTTGTTCAAACCGCCTGGAAACCGTGGTGGGCTTCTGCTCTGCTCGTGTGGGGGACTCTGAGTTGGGGGGCAGGGAAGGCTAGCAGCGGAGAGGATGTGGGCAAGGGGGATGCCGGGCACGGCGAGTGGCCTCGGTGCAGTCACCTGTGCTCTCCCAGGAGCAGCCAGCACGGGACGCCAGATTGGCTGACGGAAGGCTGTCTCGTCTCTGGTTCAACAGAGTGTGTGCAGAGCTGGGCCGAGGCCGCAGAGGGCCCTCATGGACTCCGGGGTCAGACGTCTGCACGGGGACCCCCAGGTGCTGGGGGACGAGTCCGACGGCAGCCGTGTGGACGGAGTGGCGGCACTGAGCGAGCCTCGCGGGGCCATAGCCACGGGGCGGTGGGGGGAGTGCACCTGCTCCAGGTGCCACGGCCAGACATCCCCTCCCCGTCACGGTCCTGGAATCCCCGAGAAGGGAAGCAGCGGTGCGCTCAGGGTCGCAGCAGGAGGCGAGTCCCAGGCCACTTGAGCCACAGGAAGGGGACCAGGCGCCGTGTGAAGGTCGCGGTGAAGGTGTAGATGAGTTCTTGTGACTCTGCGTTGGTGAATGTCACGGTGCCGCCTTCATAATCCAGGGCAATGCCCACCCGCCGGGGCCGCAGTGCCGGGAAGAGCTCAGCCTCGGGGTCCGTATTGGCCCAGATGCCCGCAGAGGAGAGGCGCAGCGCCCACACCCCGTCCTCTGGCCGCAGGGACAGGTCCCCCTTCCTCTTCACAGAGTCTCTGGCCACCCCCACCATGCAGCTTTCGAGGACCTCTTCCTCCTCTTCCTCCTCCTCCTCTTCCTCCCCTAATGACTCCTCGTCCTCATCTGTCTCCCAGTCCTCGTACCCGTCCCCGTAGCCCGCCTCCTCTTCCTCTTCCTCCTCCTCCTCCCCCTCCTCCTCCTCCTCGCCCTCCTCTTCATCCTCGGACCAGCCCTCCCTGTCCACCTCCACTTCCCAATACACCTTGCCCCAGGTGAAGCCCTTCCTGCCCAGCACCCCCGGCTCACAGTCAAACTGCTGGGGGTGCAGGTAAGCGCTCTGGTAGAGGCTGCTGTAGGTCACACACTTCCAGTCCTCTGACAGCTGCAGGTACCCGCTCGCTGACTGCGGGTCCAACGTGACACTGACTGTGGGGACAATGGAACAGTAGTGCTATTACTGGGGGGCCCCCGCAGGGCTGCCACACCCTACAAGCAAGGGCTGTGCAGTGCCCAACCTGACAGCAGGGCCCGGAAGGAGCATAATGCGGGGGCCGGCAGCAGAGACGGCTCCCACATACAGGAGCCACGCGGTCAGGTGGATGAGAACATTGTGCAGACAAGGGTCAGGCAATCAAGCACGGACTTCTGTTGCAAACCAGAGGCCCAGTGCGGGGTATAGACTTGCTGCTGGGAAATCTCACCTGTGTAAGGGACTCCCTGGGGGCAGCAGGGGACAGTCATGAGTCTCTGTGGGGACGGAGTGTGGGGACGGAGTTCCTAATGGGAGAGGAACTGGGAATGGCCTTTGGACACTCACCTGTCTTATATTCCAAGTCTCTTAGCAGCTTCCCTGGGGAGGAGAAAAGGACAGGAATGACCCTCTAGCCCAGGAAAATTATGGGCCCGTTTTCTGCTAAGACAGGATTAATTTCCAGATAGGGCCTCCCTGCCTGACATCCCAAGAAGAAAACAGAAAACAACCAGGAGACGCAAGAGTGAGGCCAAAGATGACAGTAAGGAGGTGGCCCCCTCCTTCGATGCAGAGCTCCAGTTCCAACGCCCACCCCAGTTCACCCCCAGCCCTCAGCCAGGCTTGACTCCCACCCCAGTGCACCCCAGCCCCCAGCCAGGCCCGACTCCCACCCCAGTTCACCCCCAGCCCCCAGCCAGGCCCAACTCCCACCCCAGTTCACCCCCAGCCCCCAGCGAGGCCCGACTCCCACCCCAGTGCACCCCAGCCCTCACCTTGGAACTCTCTCAGGCCTCGCTGCAGGGACTGAAGTTTCTCCGAGCATTCTCCCGTCTTCTTCTTAACCGCCCGAGCAATGGGCTTCCCAATCCAGAACTTCTTCCGTGGGTACCTGGGAAGACGACAGACGGACCTGTCCCTCAGCTCTCCTTGCGCTTCTCCCGTTCTCACAACAACTATGAAGCAGGAAGGAAAGGTATGACCATCCCCAATCAACGGAGAAACACGGGCACAAAAACACCGACTGAACAGCCCCCCTCTGGGCCGGGACTTGAGCATCCGGAACACTTCTGTCCGCGAGCATGTCTCCGCCCTCATCTCCGTCCCGTCTCAGACCCCGGTGGAACCCTCGCTGCTTCAGAGAGCAAGTCTCCAGGTCCCAGCCGTGTTCCGGCTAACCCTAACCCTAGCCGAGGTGGGACCGTTCACTCCAAGGGTCCCATGGAGGGGGTGGGGTGGGGCGGGTGCGCCGTGGAAAGGAGGCTGTTACCTGTTCACGAAGTCCCTGGTGTCCTGGAGGGGAAGAAAGCACAAGCATCAGCCCAGTGGCATCAGACCCCACTCACAGGAGGTGCCGCAGCGCTGGGAGCCAGGGTGCAAGAGTGAACAGAAGGCTGTGGGCCCTTCCTCCTGCCCTGCACCCTCACCCCATCTCCCAGCACCTGTGCCCCAGGTACACCTTCCACCTGAGCGGCGCTGGAGGCATGCTGGCCCCTGCGGCTCCCTCGGGTGGAGTGGGAGGGGCTCCCGTCGGGATTTCAGCCCCCAGCAGCACCCCAGCTAGTCTCTCTCTGCCCCCCACACAACCGCACGTGATGGGGAAAGGAGGGCTGCCCCTCCCCGGGGGGCAGAGAACAGGGCAGTAAGAGACCTAATCCCCGTCTGATGGAGGAATTTGTGGGAAATGCCAGAGACACATTTTAGACCAAATGAAGGACAAGAACAAGAAGCCTAGGAGTGGAGTTGGGACCGGGTTCCTGACCTGCCTGGCAGCTGGGCCCTCAGCGAGTTCTTCTCATACAGGGCCCTCACCCCCCGCCAGTCCCAATCTGCGAGCCAGAATGCTCAGCGAGGGGCAGCAGGCGGCCCCCCCGTGCAGGTACCTGGAGAGCCTGCCCCGCTGTGTCTCCTGAGGCCAGGCTGCTGGCCGGGACAGCATCTTCCTGGAGGAGATGGGGGGCTCCACTGCTGACCCGCCCGGCCACCACAGCCTCCTCCCCGCCCGCAGGGGGAAGGTCCAGGGAGGCTCCAGGAGGAAGGCGGCACAGTGCTATTTCCACTCTAGTTCAAGGCACTCCCCCTTGGCATCAAAGCTGCCTCCTTCAGGAAGTGTGCCAGGGGCACCCGGCCTGCTCTCCCTCCCACAGAAAACCTTGCCCATCTCCTCCAGTCCCTCCCTGGGAGAAGCGGCCCTCCCTCGGCCACTCCAGCCGCACGGGCTGCCCGTAGCTTCCCCTGGAGGGTGTATGCCAGGGACCTGTGGTGGTTGCGACGAGGACGGACGGCATGATGAAAACACTCATAAACCTCCCTTCCTCTCCCACGGCACTCTCCAACCCCCTCCAACTGGTTTTTGGTAGACTTTGCCCTCTGAAGGGACACCATGCAGGGCACCAGGTGTCCTGGAGGGGAAGAAAGCACAAGCATCAGCCCTCTTGTGGGGTACGTCCTCTTGTGGGGTACGTCCTCTTGTGCTCGTGGGACCACGGGAGGAGGTGGGGCAGGTGGGGTTGACTCTCCTGACATTTCAGTAGAGAAAGTCACGGCCTGAGAGGCGGCGGCTCTCCCAGGGTCCCATGGGGGTACAGGGGACAGAGACCGGCTGCCCCGGAGGCTTCTCACCTGCAGGAGCTCTGCGGCCGGCTGCTGTGCCTTGGTCTCCAGCTCGGAGATGACCAGCGCCAGCCGGGTCAGCTCCGCGACGCCCCTGCTCTTGTACTTCTCGCGGCCCTCCGCCAGCTCCTGATGCAGCACCTCCAGCTTCTCCAGCAGATGCTGCTCCCGCTCCCGCAGGAACTCGTGCGCCTGTTTAAACTCGGCCATGACGTTCTGCCGCTGGTCCTGGATCTTCTTCTGCAGGGGTGTGGAGGGGAGATGAGTGACTGCCCTGCCCCGCGCTGGAGAGCCCCGGTGGCGTCTCCTGGTGGGGCCGCATGAGGCCAGCTCGCACCCCCATCCGTGCACTGTGGGACCTCAGAGCACGGCTGGGCAACCTCCCTCCGACACAGACCGCCTGCAGGAAACGCAGGGACAGCCCTCGCACCCCATCTCTAATCAAACAGGAAGTGCTGCCTCTGCTTCCCAACCGTGGTAGCCCTGGCTGCAGGACTCAGCACACAGGGTCCCCAGGATGCCCCCCAGCCTCCCAGGCCTCCCCACTGTGCTCATCCCGCAGCCAGCGCCCCCTCCCAAAGCCCCTGGCTCCCCACCACATCGGGAGTCCGGTCCCCCCATCCGTAACAGGAAGGGCTTTGCCGGGACCTCCTCGGTCCCCTGCACACTGGCAGTCCGGAGCAGCTGCTGCCAGATGTGGCCCACGGCTGCAGCGAGCCACACCTGTGCAGGAGCGCCCACGCGCACACACCAGATAAGGAAGCCAGCCCGAAGCCCCCCAGCTCAGACCGTCAGGGCTTAGCCTCCGCCGTTCAGCCCCCCCAGCTCCCTCCCCACATGGCCGCGGCCTCAGGCTCTCACAGCCCCACATACCAGTGCAGTCAGGATATCAGCTTCTCCCTTTGCCTGGGAGCCCTGAATTTTGTCCCGGTCTCTCCTCAGGGTACTCAGGTGGTTCAGGATTTTCTCCTGCGGAAAGACAAGCCATGGGGATGGATGCGCTGTGGCTGAGCACCCCCGTGGGCCACAAGCGTCTGGGAGCGCGCCCGGCCTCGCCCCTGGGCGGGGTGGAGTCCCCTTACCCTGTGGGGCTGGGCGGCCTTCTCCACCAGGACCGCCGTGTGCGGCCTGTGCTCCCGGGACTCACGGCACATGACGCACAGCAGCTTGCCGTCGTCCTCACAGTAGTGATGCAACTTCTCCCGGTGCCGCTCGCACAGCCTGGTGTCCGGCGGCTCCCGGGCCGCGTCCCCGGGCTGCCTGTCCTTGTCCACCTTCAGCCGCTCGATGTTCTCCACCAGGCTGGCCAGCTGCCACACCGGCCGGATGTTCTCCTTCTTGAACGGCTTCTTGCAGAGCGGGCAGACGGGGCGGCCCCCCGATGCCGGCCGCACGTCCGTGGTGCAGCTGCGGCAGAATACGTGGCCGCAGTCGATGGTCACGGGGTCCCGCAGGTAGTCGAGGCAGATGGAGCAGGTGACCTCCTCCTCCAGGCTGCGCAGCGGGGCCGACGTGGCCATGGTGCCCTTGGCTGGGAGGGGCCGCGCTGCGCCCACGGAGGCTTCTCGTCCTGGGAGAGCAGACGCGGAGTCAGAAGCAGGCCCAGGGAGGGGCAGAGGCGGCGGGGCACCGAGCGGGTGCGGGGGTGCGGGGAGAGAGCACAGCGCGGCTGGCCCCTACCGCGCCGCGGGGAACCTGCTCTGAGGCACCGCTTATGACTGAGCGAAATCCGGGTTAGCGGGAGACGCGTCGCCCACACCTCCGCGTCTATGCTGCGCGGTGGTCCCCACTGGAGACACGTCGTTGCCCACACACCTCCGCGTCTACATTGCGCGGCGCTCCCTGCGGGAGATGCGTCGTCGCCCACACACCTCCCGCGCCTAAGCTGCCGGGGGCAGAGCGCAAGCGCCCCGCTGCTCGTGGGGGCGGGCGGCGGAGCCCAGGAGATGCGGAGGCTCTTAGCCCAGACTCCAGAAGCTTGGAGAGTAGGGGACGTGCCCTGGGCTGCGCCGTGGCTTCGGTCCCCAGGATGGGGGGGACCCTGCCCTTTCCCCGCAGACGCCGTGTGCCCCCGCGCACGTCCTGGCCACCCCGCTGCTGGCAGGTGTGGCCCGATGGGCCGCGCTAGAGGGAAACCAGTGTGGAGGAGACTCCCAGCGGGCCAGAAGGCCCAGGTCCAGAGCAGAAGTTGGCAGCTGTTAAGAAACAAGGGCGGGAGTTCTGACCACTTCGGCGGCCGCAGGGCCGGCGCAGGGGTGGGGTGAGGCCCCGTGGATGGCCTCCCATGGAACCTTGGTAACGCAGAAGTCCAGCGATCACCAGAGCCCTGCCCAAGCCCACAGCGCTCACAGGTGCACAACCCGGCATCTGCTTCCCCAAAGGGCACCATGGGGAGACACAATATCCCCTTTGAAGTCATCCTGCCGAAACTGGCCTGATGGGACCTCACCGAGCCTTTGGGCATACATTCCGATTTACAGAAAACAGGAGGCACAGGGAGCTGAGCCCCAGCACATCCTGAGGAAACGGACACATCCAGAATATGGGACATTCCAGAGGACACTGGCCCAGCAGTGTCAGGGGCGCCAGGGTGCTGTTGGTGACACGTTGGATCTCGGTTTGGTCTCAGGTCATGACCTCAGGGTGGTGAGATGGGGCACGCGTCGGGCTCTACGCTGAGCGCAGAGTCTGCTGGTCTCCCTCTCGCTCTGGCCCTCCCCACTCAGTGCGCTCTTGCCAATAAATAAATATATAAATCTTAAGAAAAAGTGAATGTCACAAAAAAAAGAATTGTTCTTGACTTAAAAAGACCAAAAGAGGAAAAACAGCCAAAGGCAAACACCTTGACTAGATCCTGTTTTGTTTCGTTTTAAGAAGCCATAAAGATAGTTTTGGGACAATGAGGAGGCTGACAAGAGGCTAGGCACTACAGGGCTGCTCCTAACTTCTGTTGGGGTTTATGGAAGGCATGAGGGGGACATCCCCTGTGGGTGACGCATGCTGCCGCCTTCGGAGCTGGGGACAGAGGCTTTGCGCAGCTCGGCAGAACGCCACACAGGATCCTTGTGAGCACAGGGGCTATGGTTTTCTGTCGTCCCGAAAGGAAGGGTATGAGGCTGCATAGGCAGGAGAGACATTAAAGGTCGCCGGTGGCGATCAGGGTGCTGCCGCGGGCAGAGGCCCGGTGCTCCGTCTGCACAGGGGAGTGGCTTCCAGGGAGCTGAACAGGCGCTCGTGCACAGAGCGGCCGGTGGCCGGCACTTCCCACGTGGTCCTGCCACTTGGGTCTGCAGACGGAGCCCACGGACGGAGCCCACGGACGGAGCCCACAGCAGCTTCTGCTGCTGCTCCCACACAAGGCTGCGGTCCCGCAAGGCAGGGCCGCGTGACCAGCACTCACTCGGACCCGCCTCGTCTGCCATGTCCACGTCTCACGTGACTCAGCGCTCGGGATGCTCTTCTGAGAACACAGAGGCTCAGTGAGGTCCGGTGGTGGCCCAGGGGCACGGCTTGGGGTGGGGGGCCTCATGGCTAAGCTGTCCCAGCCCGTGGGACACCAGGAAGCTCAGATGGGGCCGTGTGCATGGATGCATTTCTCAAGCTGGACAGTGTGGGCTGGCCAGTGTAGACGCTGGACACAGGGGTTCCAGGGAGTCTGCTCTCCATCCCACGTTCAGAGCCAGCAAAACACCGACCTCCGGTACCTCCCCTACATTCTGCCCTCTCTACCACTTCAAGCTTCTGGAACATTCTATCTCTCAGGCTTCCAGAGTGGGGGGCGGCCGTCACGCCACTCTCCATGCCTGGAGCTGGGGCAGACAGGAACAACAGAAAGCCAAAGCTGGAAAAACCCTCCACGATGGCCACGCCCACCCAGGCCCCTGTCCCCAGATGAGAATTCAGAAGCCTGGGGTCATCCCACGGGGGCCCTCGTGGCAGAGGCCACGCATCCCCACTCCGGCGTGGCCAGCTCTTCCATCCCTTCTAGAAGCCAGAGGCTGGGTGTGAACTGGAGGCAGGCAGAGCTGCAAACACCCCTCCCCGTCCGGGTCTCCTCTCCCTGCCTCACTGTTCTCTGACCTCAGAAAGGCCCCTCCGTGCACGGCGACAGATGGGCCAGGTGGCACCATGTGCAGGCAGCACGCTCGAGGCTGCGGGACCCGGGCACGATTCCTGCCGAAGAGAATGGCAGGGGCTGCGAGAGCCAGCGGAAGGAGGCTGCAGTGGGAGCCTGCACCTCGGGGCAGGCACACGCCTCACCCCACCCCTGCGCCGGCCCTGCAGCCGCCGAAGTGGTCAGAACTCCCGCCCTTGTTTCTTAACAGCTGCCAACTTCTGCTCTGGACCGAAATTCTCCTTCCGCCTTCCGTGGCTCCTGCTGCCCCGCACCAATCCCCCCAGGATGCCCTGGGAGGGTCCCAGGAGACACCGAGCCCCAGCGGTGCTCTTCTCGGCTCAGAGGAGTGAGCAGATGGGCCGTGGTTTGCACCCTGGCCTCCAGGGCTGCTCCTCGTGCCTTCCCTCGGGGGTCTGACAGGAGCCCCGTCTTTCCCATCATAGAGCACGTAGCTGAGGGCTCCAGTCCCTGTGGGAAACCCACCTGGGGCTCCTGGGACCCAGGTGAAGCCCCATTTCTTTTTTTTTTCCTTTTATTTATTTGACAGAGAGAGAGACAGCGAGAGAGGGAACCCAAGCTGGGGGAGCAGGAGAGGGAGAATCAGGCTCCCCGCTGAGCAGGGAGCCCGATGCGGTGAAGCCCCATTTCAATGAGCAAATTCCCCTCGAAGTCAATGTCTGTGACGCCTCTTCCAAACCTCGAGAGGACAGAATTCTGATTCCGGATGAGCAGCCACAGCGCGGCAGATGATGTCACAGGGCCCCTCAGAGTCTACAGCTGTGGCTATGGGCCTGGCGCTGGGTGGTCTCAGGGGACACAGGCCTCTGGACAGTGCATTCCTGATGTCATGGGTGGGTGACGGTTCTCCCCAGGGCCGGAGTCAGCGTGCTCTGAATCCCTGGGGCCAGGATGAGACGCGCTCTGAATGGTGGGAACGGCTCCAGGGCTCAGCGGGGCATGGGACAGGCCTTAGGGTGCCAAGGAGGAGCTCTTGGGGGCAGAGCTCCTCCAAGAGTTCACAGATTTGTGCTGGAGGCCTAGTATGTGCCAGGCACTGGGGATGCCACACAGGGCAAAACCCCTGCCCTCCCAGAGCCCCCAGCACACTGTCATACAGCCGGGTGAGACTTCGGGGGTTGGGACTGGGGCTGATGGTGGGGGCCACAACCCCCAAGGATTTCCTAACAAACGTATGGCTCCCACGGATTACTTATGGCTCTGGCCTCTGCTGCTCAGCATGCCTGCCCCCAAGGCCAGCCTTCAGCTCTCCAAACACACCCCTCCCTGTGCTCAAACATCCCTGTGCCCGCATGGCCACCCCGGGGAAACCCCTCCGAGGCTCTCTGCGGCTCCAGGGGCAAAGTCACACCTCCCTCCCGCCTCTGCAACGCCCAGCCCTGGTCTGCAGGCTCATTTCCCGCTATTCCCCTCCCAGACCTGACCCCACGGCCAAACCAAACCCCTCTCCAGGCCCCGGAAGGTGCCATGCTCCCTCATGCCCAAGCCTCCCTGCTGCATGAGCCATCTGAAAGGGCTGCCCCCCTCACCCCCAGGGAGCCCGCTCCTGGCCCAGCCCGCAGTATCTGCTGAAAGCCACCTCCTTCGGATTCTTCCTGAGTGACAGGCAGAGGCCACATGCTCTGCTCCCACACTGCCCTTGTACACGTCCCGGCAGGGGTGAGGCCAGGCTCATCAGTACGCTCCGGTGTCTCTGCAGCTCTCCCTACCACAAGCGGACGCAGACGGTGTCTGCCTTATCCGCAGGAGGCAGCAGTCCTCCCCACCTGCCCCGCCCGTCTGACCAGAGGCTCCACGACTCGGCACAGACAGCCGCATTCCCCGGTGCCCCGAGCGACAAAAACAGCAGGCCTGGGAGATGCCCATCACTCCCTCCCGTCTACACCGCACTGTGCATTCATCAAGCACACTTTACGCTCCCTGGTACAGATGTGATCATAGTGCATTTGTCTGCAGCGGTGCGCAGAAACACCATGTTGTGCGGCTCATTCATGCGGACGGAGCTGCCTCTGTTCATTTTCACTGCTTTCCGATGTTGTGGCTCTACCTTGGAGATACTGGCGGCTCGGTCCCAGACCAGCACAACGGAGTGAATACCGCCACAGGGCCAGCCAGGAGCGCACACGAAAGTTGTGTTTACGCTCTGTGACAGTGCACGAAGTGCACAGTCGTGTCAGGGCTAAAGACAGATCTTGATTACAAATGACTCATTCCAAGAACTGCTGTCACCTAAGCGTTAGTCACAGGAGCCCACGAGATCACAGTAACAACTATATTAACTACGCTAACGACGCAAGGTCTGAGATATCTGAGATATCCTGAGACACACAGACACGGAGCCAGAAACGGCAGCTGCAAAGTGGATCCCACAGACTTGCCCGTTGCAGGGTCGCCACGAACCCCCATCCATAACACACACGGCGTCTGCGGCATGCGGGAAGATGAAGTGTGCCCGCGGGCCCCTTCTCCTGGCCCCCTGACTGTTTCCTGTTTGGGACAATGGCAAACACCATTCTGTGAAGGTCTGTACACGTGTCCTGGGACACAGAAGCAAGCAGACGCATCCTTGACCCAGTCGGGCCACCCTGTTCCCACACTGACTATAGCAGTGTGCATTCCAAGTGGCAGGCCACGGGCGCTCACGCTGCCTCACGGCCTTGCCAGCACCTGCCACTGTGGGCGTTGACACGTGTGCGTCTCCAGGAGGGAAAGGGAATCCCACGGTGTGTGCGCGTATGTGTTTAATGCTGAAGGGAAGGGAGGGGGACGAAGCGGGAAGGGCAGGGCAGCTGGGGCAGAGCGCTACAGCAGACGACAGCAGGATGGCACTGTGCTCCCCGCTCCCAACAGTCACCCTGCAGACGCTTTACCTTCGGGGAGGGGTCTGCCCGGCTTCTAAGCGTGCTTCCCTTGCTAACTTTGCTCCCTTGGAGCAGGTTCTTCGGCCACAGCTCCCCCTCGGCTCACGGTGGAGCAAGGGAATGGGTCTACACCTGCCTCACCTCGGGGCTTGCTTCAGAGGCGAGGCTACGACTCAAGTCTGCCAGTCACAAGGAGACCACGCTGAGACGGGAACGATTCTGCGGTTTTTCAAGAATTTGCGAGAGGTGACATCAGCGTGGTTTGAAGCTACAAGAGCAGTTTTGCAGAGCAGAGGGCCAGTCCGTTTGAGAAGGAAGCCAACCCAGAGAGGAAGCAGAAGAAACCCGATCCTCAGGGCACCTCGTAAAACCCTCCTCCGGCTGCGCCTGGAGCTGGATCGACCCTTGACCTGTGCCACTGCTTGAGGCAGTAAATGGCCTTTATGTTCAGCCCCGTGCACCCAGGAGTCACCTGACCAAAAAAGGGAATCCTGCCTGATACAGCACAGGACGTTAGTGAAGGTGACTGGGCTGAAATACACAAAGAATTTGTGCCAAAAAAAAAAAAAAAAAAATCTGCCTATTTCTCTAGACAAAGGTAGACACCCGGTGGCGGCTCCCCCTCCCGCCCCACAGGTGGAATGCAACCTGCCAGGGCCTGCCCCATGTCCCAGCTTGGCCCTCGGCCCCGTCCGCAGCTCCAGGGACACGATCAGAACCTTCTTCCGTCCCTAGCTGTTACTCTAACCAAAGCGGACAGGGAAGACTCCCCACCGAAACCCAGTTTTCACCCAGCTGCCACGACTCAGCTGTGCAGCCTGGGGCCGTGTTCTTGACCTTTGCACAGCTCCATAGGACCGGAAGAGGTGGGGGTGGGGAGGCACCTAGGCCATGTACAGGCAGACCAAAGTCAATGCACGGCGAGCACACGAGCGCTGTGTGCAGCCTAACGTCACGGCAGATACCACTCCACACAGATGGAATCTGTTGGTCAGGCACCCTCTGTGCTGGTTTTCCACAATCTGGCCATCAGGCAGGACAGGGCCAGCTTATCAGACGAGTTCTTTCAAGATCATCAGTGGAGCCTGGAGCTCACCATCTGCAGGTTAGTGAGACGGAGATACTTGACCACTCACTTCCCGGAGTGAGGAGGGATCTGAGAACTGGCAAGGGGGTACACTTCTCATCGAACGTAAGATACCCACATCACTGCATTGCAGCCTCTCCGAAACGTGATCCGTAGCATATCCTAACTGAACTAGGGGGACGTGTTTTCCACCATGTCCCGTCATGTATAAACTAACCGCCTCTTTAGATCTGGTGCAGGGTAGCCCGTCTCCTACCAGGTGCCGTGGACACACCGCTTTCCTCTTGGCCCTCTCCCCCTTCCGTCCTAGCCGTGGCCAGCACTGCACCGCAGGGCCCACACAGTCCCCACGATCGGGCCCCCACTGTGGCCTCAGCCTAATGCAGCTCCTTCTCTAGGGCCTCCACTCCCCACGCCCTGTGCCCGCACATGGTCTCTGTCCCAGTGCATAGTGGACGGCTGGAATCAGATACTACCCGTGTGAGGCCCCCCATGCCCATCCCACCTTCCAGCTGAACGGCTCCCCCCACCCCGGGAGGCTCCCGCAGCTCTGCAAGTGCCACGGGTCATTACAGTACTACCAGCAGCTGACGCGGCTACCCACCTCCCCCCACCAGAAGGTGAACCCAGGCACCATTCCTCACCGGTCCCTATCCCCAGGACCTGGCACAGACGTGCTCCATGCCTCCAGACCCCACCCTCTTCTTCACTCCCCCACCCCCACCAGGCTTCCTTTGGCCCCTTCACGATCTTGCTTCTGCAGAAGGCCCCCTCTGATTAGATGTTCCTGACCACAAACATTTCCCGGATCTCCCCCTGTCTCCCTCCACACACCCTGTTTTGGGGAGAAGGTCAACATTTCATGTGTACCGATCTGGTGAGCTGTACTTCCTCCTGGGTAACAGTCCAATTAAGCCTTTGTTTTCCAAAGCCACTGTCTTTCCATTCTGATCCCGAGGCCCAAGTCTGGAGTCACCTCAAGAAACCTCAGTTAGGACCATGGACTTCCTTTGCGGCTCGCGATGTGTTCTGGGGTGGTCTGACACCAACCTGTCACTCCCTTGCAGGAAAGAGACGGCTAAGATACCACCTTCTCCTGGGCCTCAGCTTCCTTACTTACCTCTCAAGGAGGGGAATAAAACATCTTGTCAAGTTCATCACACTGACGTTCACGGGACGCCCCCCAGTCAAAGTGCTTTCAATAGTAAAAAGCTCTATAAAAATACACACTGGGAAGGACACAGGAACCAACTTGGAAAAGCCCCCAGTAACCAAAGCCACAACAACTGGAGCAACAAAATAAAAGAGGATTGGATTATACCCGAAAGTACAAAATAAACATCCATGAGTCCGTGCTGGTGTTAATGGGTTGATTAAATTAATAAATAAGGACAAGAGAGATGATTTGCTATGCAAAAAGTTCCAAACACTGGGTGTAGCTACTTGTCCTCAAGGAGGAGGAGCGTACCGGCCCCTCCTTGGGTGTGGGCTGCGCAGTCAATTCTTTGCAAAGAGTACAGTGTGAGATGGCATGGCCGGGCGGGGGGTGGGGGGGAGATACAGTAACTTGACAGCCGAGAAACCTGCTAAGCACTTTCTCAGGTGATCACAACCAACATCAAGTCTTAAATCGTGTGGACAGTATGTACCCTTGACCCCAGGTCATCAACAGGACAACCTACCTCAGTAGTCTTCCAATAAGTGAGAGCCTGGTCTCAGGAGAAAAACATCAGTTCCAGTAGACGGGCACCCTACACTCCACCAGCATTTCTCAAAACTGTCAAGATCATCCCACAGCCAAGCAGAGCCTCAGCAGACATGACAACCAAATGCAACCTGGTAAGGTGGCAGGGATCACCGCACAGAACAGGTGCTTAGGTGGACACGCGGTAAATCGGGAGAAGGACAGACTTGGGCCAATAACAGATCAATACCGGTTCATTAACTGTAACAAATGCATCATGCGAACGTAAGATGTTAATCAAGGGGGGAAAGGTCTGGGATATGTGGGAACCCTACTACCTTTGCAATTTCTTCTATGAGCTTAGAGTTGTTCTAAGCAAATCTATTCAGAAAAAAAAATGCACTTTGGTGAAGAAAACCCATAATGCCTGTTTTTTCAAAGAGCTGCTGCTTCTAAACTTGGGGGAGGCTCGGGCAGTGTCCCCGCACGATCTGTGGCAGGCATGACCGGATGCCATTCCCCCATCCTCGCGGTGGGGTCAGGATCCAGGGTGCAGAAGGAATCCGGTCCTTCCTCGAGGGCCAAGTGGGGTCAGATAATGAGGGCGCTCGCGGCTGGCGGAGGGAGTTCGTGCACGGCTCCGAGGACAGGGGGCCGGCCTTCCTTACTGCACAACCTACCCCCCCCCCACCGCCCCGGGGCCCCGGGCACCTGCTGGCGCTCGGGGCGGAGGCCGGCCGGGGCCCAGCGCGCGCGCCGCGGCAGATCGCCCACCACCTCGCCCCCGACCCCGCGTCCGCTTCCCCGACTCACCGCACTGCCGCGCTCCGGGACGCGAACACCGGCCTGGTGGGACTCCCGGCTCTCCCGCCGCGGCCGGTTCCGGGTCGCGTCCCCACCGCGCGGCCTCCGGGATCCGCCGAGCGCGGCTCCGAGATTTCTCCCCGGATCAGCGCCCGGATTGGCTCCTGCCTAACATCGTCTCCCAATGGGAGCGCGAGTCTCCTCTACGTCACCATCACTGGGCAAATCCGGGGGCCTCTGAAGGGGGCGGGGCGACGAGGGCCGAAGCGCACGGACCTGCGACCCGGCGGAGCCGGGGTGCGCCGGAGCCGCAGCGGGGGTGGGGCGAGCAGGGCGCGCTCCCGGGGTGCTGGAGAGGGGCGCCGTTCCGAGGCCTAGCTGAGCCGGAACCCCATGCCCTCCCCCTGCGCGCGCTCCGGGCGGAAGGGGAGCTCTGCGGCCGAGCGGGTCTCGCCGTAGGCTCGGCATTAAATAGGACTCCCTGCCCCCAACCTGGCCTAATTTTGCTTCCTGAACCCGGAAGGCCTTTAGCAAGCACGTCCTTAAAGGGGGTTATTTACAAAAACCAGCTACCCTTTTCGAGGCATCTGCGATGAGCGAGGAGCTTTACCTAAAACACCTTTCAGCAGGGCAGCACGACTGCCCCCACTGCACAGGAAGGGACAAGCGAGGCTCCGGGCGCTGGCGGCCCGGCCCCGCTCCGTGTAGCTGTCTCCCTCCCAGTGGCTGGGTCCGGGGTGCCCTGAGCCCTCTTGGTGGTGGTGGGGGCTTTCCTGGAGCTCCGGCGCATCCCCCGCCCCCCCCCGCCCCCCCAGGCTGCGCGGGGTCGGGGGCGGCCGGGAAAGGGTCTCCGCGCCAGGCACCTACCTGCTCCCGCCCGGAAGGGTGGTCGCGAGGTCCTGGAGTGGACGCGGGTCGGCCGCCTCGCCGGGGGAAAGAGGGTGGCTCTGAGGGTCCCAAACCCTAGAACCTGCCCGGGCCCCGCCCCTCGCGCGGGGTGGGGCAGGAATTTGAGGCGAAAGCACCGGGTTTAAAGAGTGGCGGTGTGGAGGGTTCTGTGTTCCGACCTACACGCCCTCGGTCTCCGCCCCCACGCCGGGCCGTCCTCTCTCGCTTTCGGTCTCCTCCCGGGCGAGGGGTGTGGCCCTCCCTTACCGGACGGGACTCGGGCGCGCGGGGTGCTGGCTGGGGTCTGAGCACCGGTTCCGCTAGACGCCGCCGGGGAAGACGGCGGGTGGTTTCGGCCACGGATCTGCTCTCTCCCGTCCCTAGGACCCGGCAGCCCCACTCAGAGGCCATTCGGGGATCGTCCCGCCGGGGAGGCCCCGTACCCTGCTTCGGACAGTCGGTCTCTTCCCCGCACACTTGCAGCCAGGAGGCCCCGCTGATCGCTCGCGCGGTCCCAGCTCCGGACGCGGCTGCCCCCTTCTTGCCGGTCGGCTAAACCGGCATCTCGGAGGGCCTTCCATCGCCGAATCAGATCCCGTCAGGCAGCGGTCTCTCACTTTCTGTTAGCACGGACTGTCATTAATTCACCCATTTCACTTTTATTTTATTTAAATTTGATTAGTTAACATATAATTGGTTTCAGAGGTAGAGATCAGTGATTCGTCAGTTGCATACAACACCCCGTGCTCATCACATCACATGCCCTCCTTAATACCCATCCCCCAGTTACCCCATCCCCCCACGCCACCACCCACCCCTCTGCAACCCTCAGTTTGTTTCCAGTGATAGAGTCTCTTCTGCTTTTGTCTCCCTCTCTGGTTTCTCTTATTTTATTGTCCCCTCGCTTCCCCTATGATCCTTTGTTAAATTCCCCTATGATCCTTTCTTAAATTCCTCATATCAGTGAGATCACATGACGTCTTTCTCTGATGGTCATTTTGCTTAGCGTAATTCCCTCTAGTTCCATCTATGTCGATGCAAATGGTGAGTATTCATCCTTTCTGGTGGCTGAATAATATTCCATTGTGTATATGAACCACATCTTTTAAAAAATTAACATAAAATGTATTATGTATTTCAGGAGTACAGGTCTGTGAATCATCAGTCTTACACATTTCACAGCACTCACCATAGCACATACCCTCCCCAATGTCCATCACCCAACCGCCCTCTCCCTACCCCACAACCCCCAGCAACCCTTACTTTGTTTCCTGAGATTAAGAGTCTCCTATGATTTGTCTCCCTTCCCAGTCCCATCCTGTTTCATTTTTTTCCCTGGCTACCCCCCACGACATCCCGGGTCTGCCTCTCAAATTCTTCATTTCAGAGAGATCATATGATAATTGTCTTTCTCTGATTGATTTATTTTGCTTAGCATAATACTTTCTAGTTCCATCCATGGCATTGCAAATGGCAGGACTTTGTGGGGGTTTTTTTTTTTTTTTTTTTTTTTGAAGGCTGCATAGTATTCCATTATCTATATATACAGCCTCTTCTTTATCCATTCATCTGTTGATGGACATCTAGGTTTTTTCCAAAGTTTGGCTATTGTGGACATTGCTGCTATAAACATTTGGGTGCACATGTCCCTTCAAATCACTACATTTGTATCTTTAGGGTAAATACCCAGTTGTGCGATTGCTGGGGCATAGCATAGCTCTATTTTCAACTTTTTGTGGAACCTCCATTCTGTTTTCCAGAGTGGTTGCCCCAGGTTGCATTCCCACCAACAGTGTAGGAGGGTTCCCCTTTCTCTGCATCCTTGCCAGCATCTGTCGTTTCCTGACTTGTTAATTTTAGGCATTCTGACTGGGGTGAAGTGGATTGCATTGTGGTTTTGATTTGTATTTCCCTGATGCCGAGTGATGTGGAGCACTTTTTCATGTGTCTGTTGGCCATCTAGATGTCTTCTTTGCAGAAATGTCTGTTCATGTCCTCTGTCCATTTCTTGATTGGATTGCCGAGTTTGCTAAGCTCTTTCTAGATTTTGGATACTAGCCCTCTATCTGATATGTCATTTGCAAATATCTTCTCCCATTCTGTCAGTTGTCTTTTGGTTTTGTTGACTGTTTCCTTTGCTGTGCAAAAGCTTTTGATCTTCATGAAGTCCCAATAGTTCCTTTTTGCCCTTGCTGCCCTTGCCTATGGTGATGTTTCTAGGAAGAAGTTGTTGCAGCTGAGGTCGAAAAGGTTGCTGTCTGTGTTCTTCTCAAGGATTTTGATGGATTTCTGTCTCACATGGAGGTCCTTCATTCACTTTGAGTCTATTTTTGTGTGTAGTGTAAGGAAATGGTCCAGTTTCATTCTTCTGCATGTGGCTGTCCAATTTTCCCCACACCATTTGTTGAAGAGACTGTTTTTCTTCTATTTCTTCTATTCTTTCCTGCTTTGTTGAAGATTAGTTGACCATAGAGTTGAGGGTCTATTTCTGGGCTCTCTGTTCTGTTCCATTGATCTATGGGTCTGTTTTTGTGCCAGTACCATACTGTCTTGATGATGACAGCTTTGTAATAGAGCTTGAAGTCTGGAATTGTGAAGCCACCAATTTTGGATTTCTTTTTCAACATTCCTCTGGCTACTCGAGGTCTTTTCTGGTTTCATATAAATTTTAGGATTATTGGTCAAATAAATAAATAAAAATCTTTAAAAAAAATTTTAGGATTATTGTTCCATTTCGTTGAAAAAAAAATGGATGGGATTTTGATAGGCATTGCATTAAATGTGTAGAGTGCTTTAGGTAGCATAGACATTTTCACAATATTTGTTCTTCCAATCCATGAGCATGGAACATTTTTCCATTTCTTTGTGTCTTCCTCAACTTCTTTAATGACTACTTTATAGTTTTCTGAGTATAGATTCTTTGCCTCTTTGGTTAGGTTTATTCCTAGGTATCTAATGGTTTTGGGTGCAATTGTCAATGGGATCGACTCCTTAATTTCTCTTTTGCTGTTGGTATATGGAAATGCAACTGATTTTGGTGCTTTGATTTTACTTCCTGACACTTTACTGAATTCTGTACAAGTTCTAGCAGTTTGGAGTGGAGTCTTTTGGGTTTTCCACATAAAGTATCATATCATCTGCAAAGAGTGAGAGTTTGACTTCTTTGCCGATTTGGATGCCTTTAATTTCTTTTTGTTGTCTGATTGCTGAGGCTAGGACTTCCAGTACTATGTTGAATAGTGGTGGTGATAGTGGACAGCCCTGCCGTGTTCCTGACCTTAGGGGAAAAGCTCTCAGTTTTTCCCCATTGAGAACGATATTCACTGTGGGTTTTTCATAGATGGCTTTTATGATCTTGAGGTATGTATCCCTACACTGCGAAGAGTTTTGGTCAAGAGAGGATGCTGTACTTTGTCAAATGCTTTTTCAGCATCTATTGAGAGTATCATATGGTTCTTGTTCTTTCTTTTATTAATGTATTGTATCACACTGATTGATTTGCACATGTTGAACCATCCTTGCAGCCTAGGAATAAATCCTGCTTGGTCGTGGTGAATAATCCTTTTTTTTTTTTTAAAGATTTTATTTATTTATTTGACAGACAGAGATCACAAGTAGGCAGAGAGGCAGGCAGAGAGAGAGGTGGAGGCAGGCTCCCTGCGAAGCAGAGAGCCCGATGTGGGTCTCGATCCCAGGACCCTGGGATCATGACCTGAGCTGAAGGCAAAGGCTTAACCCACTGAGCCACCCAGGCACCCGTGAATAATCCTTTTAATGTACTGTGGGGTCCTATTGGCTAGTATTTTGGTGAGAATTTTTGCATCCACATTCATCAAGGATATTGGTCTGTAATTCTCCTTTTTGATGGGGTCTTTGTCTGGTTTTTGGGATCAAGGTAATGCTGGCCTCATAAAATGAGTTTGGAAGTTTTCCTTCCATTTATTTTTTGGAACAGTTTCAGAAGAATAGGTAGTAATTCATCTTTAAATGTTTGGTAGAATTTCCCTGGGAAGCCATCTGTCCCTGGGCTCTTGTTTTTGGGAGATTTTTGATGACTGCTTCAATCTCCTTACTGGTTATGGGTCTGTTCAGGTTTTCTATTTCTTCCTGGTTCAGTTTTGGTAGTTTATATGTCTCTAGGAGTGCATCCATTTCTTCCAGATTGTCAAATTTGCTGGTGTATAGTTGCTCATAATATGTTCTTATAATTGTTTGTAGTTCTTTGGTGTTGGTTGTGATCTCTTCTCTTTCATTCATGGTTTTATTTATTTGGGTCCTTTCTCTTTTCTTTTAGATAAGTCTGGCCATGGGTTTATCAATCTCATTAATTCTTTCGAAGAACGAGGTCCTAGTTTCATTGATTTGTTCTACTGTTCTTTGCTTTCTATTTCATTGATTTCTGCTCTGATCTTTATTATTTCTCTTCTCCTGCTGGGTTTAGCTTCCTTTGCTGTTCTTTCTCCAGCTTCTTTAGGTGTAGGGTTAGGTTGTGTACTTGAGAACTTTCGTGTTTCTTGAGAAAGGTTCGTAGTGCTATATACTTCCCTCTTAGGACAGTCTTTGCTGTGTCCCATAGATTTTGAATGGCTGTATTTTCATTTTCATTTATTTCCATGATTTTAAAAATTCTTTAATTTCCTGGTTGACCCATTCATTCTTTAGTCAGATGTTCTCTAGTCTCCATGTATTTGAGTTCTTTCCAACTTTCCTCTTGAGTTCTAGTTTCAAAGCTTTGTGGTCTGAAAATATGCAGGGAATGATCCCAATCTTCTGGTACCAGTTGAGACCTGATTTGTGACCCAGGATGTGATCTATTCTGGAGAATGTTCAATGTGCACTAGAGAAGACTGTGTATTCTGTTGCTTTGGGATGGAATGTTCTGAATATATCTGTGATGTCCATCTGTGTGTCATTTAAAGCCTTTATTTCCAGACCACCTGGGTGGCTCAG